CACCTCCGAGGAGGAGCCACCAGCCAGGCCTGGGTCTGACCACCCCCCCCCCCCATCCCAGCTCATCCCTGTTACCCCCGACTGCCTTTCCCCAGACCTTTCCCCAGACCTTCCCACGGCTCCCCCCCGTCCGTGGGAGTCCATCAGAGCCAGCCCTCCCTCAGGGATCTGAGTTCAGATCCCACCAGGTTCGGGCTACAACGGAGCTCAAACGCTGGCCTGTCCAACCTCTTCCTTTTTATATTGTGGGTTGTTTTTTTAATTATCAATCACCCAGACGTATCATAACAAATCAGAAAAGAGACAACAACCATCAAAAAAGATAGGAGCCGAAACCGGTTTGGCTCAGTGGATAGAGTGTCGGCCTGCAGACTGAAAGGTCCCGGGTTCGATTCCGGTCAAGGGCATGTACCTTGGTTGTGGGCACATCCCCAGTAGGAGGTGTGCAGGAGGCAGCTGATTGATGTTTCCCTCTCATCAAGGTTTCTAGCTCTCTATCCCTGTCCCTCCCTCTCTATAAAAAAATCAATAAACATATATTAAAAAGAAAAGAGATCTTTCACAATCCCACCACCAAGAGTCAGAGATTTTGCCCGCAGCCTCTCCGTGTAACGAGGCGAGAGGCTCAAAGAAGGAAACAGCTTGCGCAGGGTCACACAGCAAGTGAGACGCCGGGCACAGGAGCCAAGCCTCTGGTTGTGCCCCCTGAACACTGGTGGCTCTGCCCCAGGGGCCTCTGGCCACCTCAGCGCCCACTGCTCTCTGCCCACAGCTCCACCGCAGCCCCTGCCCCACCAGGCCTTCGTGGGCTGCAGACGGGACCGCTGAAGTGCAGAATGCTGTCACAGACGCGGTGCCTGATGCTAGCATGCCCCTGAACTAGCGGCCCACTACATACAACATGCCCCTCCACACACACACACACACACACACACACACACACACACGCTCTGGCCCAGCTGAGGGACCCTGTGCCAGGGAGGCACAGAGCTCTATCTTCCCGATTCTCTCTGTCAAGAGGTTTGACTGCACATGACCCCCCTCCCCACCCCAGGTGGTGTGTGTGCTCGAGGAGAGTGAGAGATTGCCTGTGCAAAACTTCTTTTCTAGCGTGAGAGGACCGTGGTGGATCTCAGAAAGGACTTCCAGGAGGGAGAGAGGGTTGTGAAAAGCTGGTGTAGGGGAAGGGGAGTGTGCAGACGGGGCCCCAGGCCAGATCTGCTAAAGGCCAAAGGCCGCGGGGTAGGGCCGGGCGGGAGCAGCCAGAGGAGGGTCGGAGGCTGGGGACGGGTCTGAGGCTGGGGACGGGCAGCAGCCAGTGGCTCTCCCGGGCAGGGACGCTCTCCGGTACCGGACAGAGAGGAAGGCTCGGCCCAGGCCCCCGCCCTTCCTCTGGGAGAGCCGCTGGGTCTCCCCGTCCCCCTGGCTGCTCCCACCGGCCCCCACTCCACCTCAGACCCCGCTGGGCCAGCCTGGGGTGGAGATCGGGAAGGGAAAGAGGAGGCAAAGCTCTGCAGACACCCCATCTCATCAGCACTGGCCTTGCACCCAGTGGCCAGGGGTCCTATGACACCCCCCACTGTCCCCTTTGGGGCCACAGCCCAGCGCTGGGGGAGCCCCTCTCCAGGGGGACCTCTGTGTCCTTCCAGGAAGACAGCTTTGGTGCCTCCATCCTCCCTCTCTCCTTCTGTGTTTGGGAAAGTGGGGTCCCCGTCCACCTGCCACAGCCCACAGAGTTCCTGGCCTCCGGGGGAGAGCACCCCCCAACCCCGACCTCACCCCCCAACCCCGACCTCACCCCCCAACACCCCCACCCCCAACCCCGACCTCACCCGCCGGTGGGTCCCTGCCCCCGGCCCCCGGCCCCCGGCGTCCTACCTGCCCGGGGCGGGGGGCTCAGCGCCCGGGCGGCCCCCCGGAGCACCAGCACCAGCAGCCAGAGCTGCCCCCGCATGGTGGGCGCAGGACCGCCGCCCGCGGCGCCCGGAGGAGGCGGCTGCCCGGGAGGAGGCGGCAGCCGGGCCCGCGGCGGAGGGTGGAGGCGCGGAGCGCGGGGCGGACGAGGGGAGGGAGCGGCGGCCGGAGGGCGGGGCGGGGGCGCGGCGCCTCCGGGGTCCCCAGGCGCCGGCCCGGCCCTCGGCGCCCGCAGCCGCCCCAGGACGGGGAGGGGGCGGGGGACCCCAGGACTGAGCGGACCCCGAAGAGCATCAGCTGCCGCCCCCTTCCACGCCCCCGGGAAGCCGCGGGGAGGAGATGGGACCAGAGCCGGGAAGAGGGGTCCTGGGTCCGTGCCCAGCTCCATCAGGGTTTCCGGGCTGCTCCTCGGAGTTCCTTGGGTGCCCACCCCCACCCCCACCCCGGGGACCTCCCTTCCGGCAGAGACCCACCGCTCCCGGCCCAGCAGAGGCCTGGGCCCCCCACCCCCCGGCTGCTGTCCGCTGTGCCACGCGCACCCCCATTCCCAGCGCCGTGTGCCCCCAGCCCGGCACACTGCGGGTGGGGGGCCGGGCTCACCGTCCATTTCAAATGGCTTGGACCTCTCTCTGTTCCTGGAAGGTAGCCCAGGCCACCCCCTCTGGGGACCCCAGGCCTTCTCAGGGCCCCAGAGCAAGAACACAGGTCACCCCCCGCCCCCACGCACCCCATCCCACCTCTCCCGTATGACGGGCTCTGGGGATAGATTTTTTTTTTTTCCTTCCAGGACAGAATAAAAATACCCGCGGTTTAGATTTAATAGACGGCGAGAAACCAGGTCAGGACTCGGAAGGCAGACCGTGGCCTACTTCATGTGACAGCAAGGAGTTCGGGTGCTGGAGAAGGGGAGAGCGAGGCGTGGGGGGCACCCCGGCTTTGGAAAAGCGCAGAGAGGGGTGCGGACTGAGCGTCTCTGGGGGGATTCCCCGGGAGGAGGGACGTGCGTGGGGACCAGAGAAGGAACAATGTGAGCTGGGATTAAAAAAAAAAAAAGAACTCAAGACTCTGATTTTTCAGAATCCCAGGTCCTCCTCCCTCAGGACCCAAGCTCCCAAAACGAACTCTCCCAGTCCTAAAAGTCCTAACCCCTCTGTTCCCTTCCGGAGCAACAAGGCGAGGCCAGTCTGCAACTCCTTGTCTAATTTAAGTCCAGACTTAGCAGCCTCTTCAATAGGATCAAATAGGCCGCCGCTTCCAGCCTCGGACTCTTGCTGCCACCTAGTGGCCACATGACGACCCGCAACCTGCCCAGACGCTGTCGGCCGGCTCGGGCTCCGGCCCGCTGGTCCACTCCTCCGCGCCCCTACCTCCTGGGAAGCCCCTGCCTTCGGAGAGGTCCCAGGGCGTGTGGGACGGCGGCTCCGGCCTGCGTCTCTCTGTGCATTCCCCAGCCCGGGGGGCCTCGCAGTCTGTTTTTTATAAGGTCTGCCAGGGCTCAGGCGGAAACAGCAACCTGGAATTAATGAGCAGCAAATAACATGTAAATGTTTTTAAAATGTAAACCTGTAGAACTTGGACGTAGATCAGAATCGCCTGGGAAACTAATTTTAAAACAGATTTCCGGGCACCACCCCCAAGTTTCTAATTCAGAGGTTCTGGGTTTAAGACCGAGAACCTGCATTACTACCATTTCCCCAGGTGGTGGTGCTGGTCCCCGGGATCGTAATTGAGAGCCACGGCCGTAGAATTCTTGTTCCTTGCACTCTCGTCGCTTTTCATTTGCCGAAAAGAGAGGCAACGAACGAAATTTCAATATAAAATTGTGGAAGGAGAAAGGAAAAAGCTTTAAGGAAAATTATTGCTTGATTCACCTGGAAAAGGCGAAGCCAGGGGGCACCCGGATTTGAACCGGGGACCTCTTGATCTGCAGTCAAATGCTCTACCACTGAGCTATACCCCCTCTGCCGGGAGCAGCGCCGCAGAAAGCCTCTTAACACTGCATCTACAAGTCGCCGCGAAGAGAAATAGGATCTAAGGTTTTTGGCAGCGGGAAAGGACAAAAATCTCAAGCGAATACCCATCTGAATGCTGGGTTTGTTTTCTGAAGCCCTGAGATAAAGGCTTCTACTGATGGTGTAAGAAAAAAGCAATTTGAACATGAGGAGTCCCTGGAGATCTTTCGAGATCCCTCACTTCCGGGAGTTCCTTTGGGCCGCGATCCCCTTCTTTTTGCCCTGCTATCGCCCCCTTACTGCTGCTCACCGCCTCTCTCTCCTTCCTACACTGTTAGGCGGATTTCTCCGGGCCTTCCTTTCCCAGCCCAAGCCTCGCCCATAGAAACTTAAGCCTCCCTCCTGAAGAACGGCCCTCGTTCACGGCCAGGCCGACCTGGGAGTGTGCCCACCTGCCCCTGCCGAGGAGAGGGGGCCTGAGGTACAGTCCACATGGGTCAACCGGAGGTCCAAGTCCTCCCTCGTATTGCTCTCTTAGACACGCTACAGTCCGCATGGATCAACCGGAAGGTCCAAGGCCCCTCTCCCAATGCAATCCACTCTCAGACACACTCGCAACGGGGCTTGTGGATTGGGCAGGGCCTGGGCCTCCGTCCTCAGTGACTGCAAAAGAGGGTGGCAGGCCCCGAGGCCGCAATCTCCTGCCGCCTCTAGAAGGACTTAGAGATTGGCTGCAGAGTCAAGAAAACTGGAAAAACCTGGGTGTGCAGAGGGGGCACCCGGATTTGAACCGGGGACCTCTTGATCTGCAGTCAAATGCTCTACCACTGAGCTATACCCCCACCTTGTAGTGACGGCTTTGTTAGGATCATTTTCTCCGGAACAAGGACATGGTATTGTGTTTTTATCTGAGGATTACGCCGGAATAACTTAATGAGACTGCAGAATTCCTGAGTTCTTCCTTCACAATCACGCCTCGGGAAAACCATCCCTGGTTTTGTGGAGTAATGGCGCTGCTCCCTTATGTGGGGCAGCCTGGGCTTCTATCCTGTCTCCAGCTCAACCTAAATAGGACGCCTGAGCTTTTCCAAACCCTGAGAACCCTTACTCAGGCAGGCAGAAATAAGAAGTGAGTACTTTTCAATGCCATTTATTACACCTTTATTTAAAAATTTTAAAACTCTAATACAATGCAAAACAAAATCAACACAAAAGGACAAACAAGACGCACAGGTGTTCTGGAATCCTGGGCAGGAGTGGGGTTTACATTGGAAGGACGCTGGGAGTCAAGGGGATATCGATAGTTGGTGTGGCTTAAAGCGCAAAAGCTGTGGTCGGAGCCAGAGCCAGCACCTCAGGGAATGGGAAGGTGAGAGGAGTGAACTCCCTGCAGAGCCAAGAACTGTTCCCAGTCCCACTCCCTCTCCCCTCCCAGCTGCTTTCGGTCTGCCTTCCTTCCCCTGAGCCCACCCCCTTTACCTTCTAGAACATCCTTTGCCCAAAGATGGCTGAGGGGCCAGAAAACTGGGGCGGGGGTGAGGGGTTTAGGGTGGAGGGTGGAGGTGGTAGGGTGCTGGGGAAGAAAGATGTCTTTCTCTGCCCCTCCATTTTCCCTACAGAACTGAGGGGAGGAGGCTCCACCCCTGACCCACCCAACATCTCCAGGTGTTTCCAGGAAGGACGCCTGCTTCCCTGGAGCGAGGGGCAGCTGCGCGTGTCCTGTCTGCAGCGATCCAGGGTATCCAGTCCAGCTCCTCTGTGGGGAGTGAGGTGGGCAGTGGCTTCTCCCTGTCCATCGCCGTGCCTGCTCCCACCAGAGAGAGAATCATAGAAAAGTAATAAATAGTCACTTGGGTTTTCCACCCAAGTAGTCTGTGCTAAACCCTGAAGTTCCTGGCTGGCGTCCGACTGGGACATCAGTTGGCAGTGGCCCCACTGGAGCCCAGCAAGCAGCCTGCAGGTCGGGAGGGGTGGAGCAAGGATCAGTATGTCCCATGAGGATGATGGCCTTCAAGCCCCCAGCCCCTGCCTAAAGCCAACTGGATGGGGCAGCTGACGTTACAGCAATCTTTCAGTCAATAATATAGACAGGCTGAATGTGTACTATAATAATAATAATAATATAGACAGGCTGAGCGTGTACTATGCACCAGCTACTGTGCTATGCACTGTGGTTACTGGTGAAAAAACAGACACGCCCTCTGGGGTTTATATCCAACAGAGGAGGTAGATATTAAACAAATGATCACGCAAATAATTCCATAACCGCATACTGTGATAAAGGTTAGGAAGGAGATGCACAGAGGCCTCTGGATGACTGAGAATCAGTGGGACTTCTCTACAGAAGGGGCCTGGAGACCTGCCTTAGCAATGTCTTTGGGCAAATCCCAGTGCCCCCTTCCCACCCACTCCATCGAAGGAGGGAGGGCCAGGGTGACCTCAAAGGCCTGGGAAGAGACCCTGTAAGCAACTCCTCCCAGTAGACTGTTAGCGACACCAGAGCAAAGGGGGAGGAGGATAGGGTGGTCTTGGTCATGTCTTTAGCACCTGGCACAGTGCCTGGCACATGGGGGCACTTAAGAAATGCTGCCTGAGCTGGCACTGGTTTGGCTCAGTGGATAGAGCGTCGGCCTGCAGACTGAAGGGTCCCGGGTTCGATTCCGGTCAAGGGCATGTACCTTGGTTGCGGGCACATCCCCCATGGGGGTGTGCAAGAGGCAGCTGGTCGATGATTCTCTCTCATCGACGTTTCTAACTCTCTATCCCTCTCTCTTCTTCTCTGAAAAATCAATAAAATATAAAAAAAAAAAGAAATGCTGCTTGAATTGAACGGACTGTGAGTGGGGGTGAGGGGGTCTCTTGACCCAGGAGGTAGCAGGAGGCCACCAGAAACGTGTGGTTCCTTGGCTGAGCTGACCAAAGCCTCCCCTTCTCTAAAGGGAAGGGCTCTCTCCAGACGGGGTACGGCTCTTTCTATATGACCGTGACCTAGCGCCTTCACATCCACACCCCCTCCCCCCAAGTACTTCCAACCTTCTTTCCTCCGACTTCCCCCGAGCACTTAGCACTTTTTAACTTACTACATATATTTTTATTTTTATTGTCTGTTTCCTCCCCCCACCCAACCCCCACTCCCTGGGAACGTAAGCTCCATGAGGGCAGGTGTTTTTGTCTGTTTTGTTTAGCGGGGTTTCTCCGGGCCCTAGAACAGTGCCTGACACAAGTAGGTGCTTACTACACGTTGAATGAATGAACGTTCTCACTTACTCTACAGAAACTCTGGGAGGAAGTACATTAAATCACCCTCCTCTTTACAGGTCAGGAAACTCAAGGTCAAAAAGAGTGGGTGATTTCTGCCTCGAAGGCTTGTCCAGGTTTCCATGGCTACCTCCTCTTCACTCAGATCTCAGCTCAAAAGACATCATGGAGGCTGTCCCTCACCACCAGAGCTGAACCAGACCCATCCCCACCCTCTATCACTTAGTAGTACCTAGAATGTGTGTGCGTGTGTGTGTGCGTGCGTGTGTGTGTGTGTGTGTGTGTGTGTGTGTGGTGTGTGTGTGTGTAGATGGACAGCCGCCTCTCCCCCCATTAAACAAGCTCCTGGGCGCAGGGCTCTCGCTCACTGCTCACCCACAGCATCTCAGCTGTGGGAAGGTGTGTGACCAGATTCTGACGGGAGAGGCAGGAGCATGTGCTGATGGCCAGTCACTCAGGGGTCCCAGTCCCAGGAGGTCCAGGCGGGACAGCCACTAACCCTTCCCCGGTGAGGGCGCAGCAGCCCTGTAGGTGCCACGGGTGGTCTTTGACGGCGCTGAGGGTGAGGAAGCGGGAGATCTCCGCGGTGGTCATGGATTCCTTCAGGTCCTGCTTATTGGCAAAGATCAGGACAGAAGCATCTCGCAGAGCCTCCCAGGGCCCAGCCTCCCTCCCCGGTGCCCCTCGAGTGTCCCCCGCTCCCCTGCTGCCCCAGCAAGAGAAGCCCGAGCCCAAGAGGGGTGGGCATGGGGCCTGTCCCAACACAGCAACCCCAGCAAATGGCACTGCCAGCTCACAGATGCCTCCACACCAGCTCACATAACCCCTGACGGTCCCATGACATAGGAATGTGAGGATTCTCCCCGATTTATCATTGGGCAGACGGAATTAGAGAGGCCAAGCAGCTTGCCTGGGGCCCCACCGTGAGTGGGACATGGTTTCAGAACCTGACCCAGCAACTTTGGCTTCTGCGGTCACCTGTGCTGAGGGCGTGATGGGAGCTAAGCTAGCCCTGTCCACGCTGCCAAGCTCGAGGCCCTCGGAGACGGAGTCATCAGGAATGAAGCTCAGAGAGGCCAAGTGCACAAGCTGAGGTCACACAGGGAGCACCCTGGGCCCTCTCCCAACCGCAGGGGGCTTACCTCATGGGCCAGCATGTTGTCCAGCTCCTCCCGAGCGGTCAGCAGCCAGTCCCCGTCCGTGCTGTCGATCACAAGGATGATGAACTGGCCAGCAGAGGGGGCCATGAGTGGTGGGCTTTCTCTTTGGTGAAGGTGCCCTCTGCCCAGCCGTGCTCCCCGCTGGCCTCCGCACTACCTGATGCAAGTCCCACGGAAAACAAACTGTCCAGTCTCGGGATCTCACTGCCCTGGTCCCATTGTTTTCTGTTTTCTCTTAAATGTATTTTTGTTCTAGTCCCATTTTAATTCCCCTTTCCAGCCAGACGCGGGGAATGCATAGCACCACCTCAGATTTCATGCCAGAGACCATGCCCTGGGCATTCATGAGTCCTTTTAGGCCTCACACAGCCCTTCGGAGCGGAAACTGAAGTTGATCCTTAAACAATGCGAGGGATGGGGGCAACCAACTCCCACACAGTTGAAAATCCACATATAACTTTGGACTCCCCAAAACTTCAGTATCTGCAGGGGACTGGTTCCGGGGCCCTGTGGATACCAAAATCTAAGGATGCTCAAGTCCCTTATAGAAACCGGCATAGATCAATGCTTGCAGTTAGCCCTCAGCGTATGTGGACTCCCAACCGCAATGCCAGTCCCGGGAATGCCGAAGGCTGGCTGTCTATCTATTGAAAAATACACCTTTAAGTGGACGCATGTTGTTCAAAGTTCAAGGGTCAACTGTATCTTACCCCCATCTTCAGATGAGGAGTCTGAGGTGCAGCAGGTGACATAGCTTGCCCTCGGCCACACCTCTGGTGAGTGGGGTGCTGGGATATAATTCGGCCTTCTCGTTCCAGGAGTGAAGCCACTAAATTCTATTCCAGAGTGAGTAAAACCCCCCAAGAGAAGGGTCCACCCATCCAGCGCATCGAATGGAGAAGTGCCAGCGAGCAGACAAAGCTGCTGGGAGATATTAAAACATGTTCACAGGCACCGTGCTGTGTAAGTATTTGACAGGCATGCATTAGCTATTGGGCTTTTTTGTTTGTTTGTTTAGCTATTGGCTTATTATTCAGTTTCACAACAACGCAGGGAGGCCATAAGTGGAACCGAGGCTCAGAGAGGTTACTACTGAGTAACTGACTACTATCACAGCCCGGCCAGCGCAGACCCCTCACCTCCGGGCCCCCTCACCTCGGAGCTGGAGAAGTACGTGTCCCAGGCGGAGCGCAGCGCCTCCTGGCCGCCCACGTCCCACGTGAGGAAGTGAGTCTCCCGCAGAAGCAGGTGTGGACCGCCTCGTTCACCAGGCTGGGGGAGCGGGAGAGGGGGCCAGGAGCTCAGCCCGCTCCCGCCCAGCTCTCGCCTCCGGCCTTCCTGCTCCTAAGTCAGGCTGAATCTAGTCCAGAGGAAATCAGCCCGGGTGGACCCAGCCTCTGCTGAGCAGGAGTGAGGCCACGTCCGGCCCTGGCTTGGACCCCAGAGAGGGGAGACTGAATGGAGCAGTCTCCCCGAGCTTTAAAATGCAGCTGAGTCGCCTGCGAGGCTTATTAAAATGCAGATTCTGCCGGAACCGGTTTGGCTCAGTGGATAGAGCATCGGCCTGCAGACTGAAGGGTCCCAGGTTCGATTCCGGTCAAGGGCATGTACCTTGGTTGTGGGCACATCCCCGGTGGGGGGTGTGCAGGAGGCGGCTGATCAATGATTCTCTCATCTATGTTTCTGACTCTCTGTCCCTCTCTCTTCCTTTGTAAAAAAATCAATAAAATATATTTTAAAAATAAAATAAAATGCAGATTCTGACCCAGTGGGTCTGGGCTGGGGCCCAGCGCTTTGCACTTCCAACAAGCTTCCGGATGATCCATCGCTGCTGGTCTTTGAGCAGCGAGGGGTTAGACAGACACACGGACGATCATCAGGAAGGTGCTCTTTGACAGAAAACACCCGCCCTTTCACCCGCAGGGAATTCCCCGGGAGATGTGGGAAGTAACTCCCTGTGCTCTTGGAGTGAGAGGTGAGAGAGAGACTTCCTCTTCGCTGTATGCTCCTGTACTGTTAGGATTTTTCTTTTCTTCTCATTTTTAAAAACCATTTCTGGGTGTCCTAAGTAAACACTCCGGAGGCTCCAGAGCAGGGAGGCACCATCCAGGGGGTGAATTTCGGGGAAAACTCCGATGGGTAACTCCCCAGCACACGTGCCAGGCTCCGCGGGGCCAGGAGCCCCGGAGCCCAGCGGACCCAAAGCCGCCCTCGCTGCGGGTTTGCAGAAGGAAGGCCGATGCCCAGGTGGCGCTCGGGCGTGCAATAGAAGGGGCCCGCCGCTGGGGGGCAGAGGAGAGCAGGGAGGCGGGAGACCCTGCCTGCCCACCAGCGTCAGCTGGAGCCGCGTTTGGCGGGGGCCGGGGGTACATGGCGGGGCGCAGGGGGGTTGCCCACACCGAACAGCATTCGAGTGCCAGGTCGAGGGGCCGCTGGACTGAGTGAGGGGCCCCTCTCCCAGGAAGGTCCCACTAGCGTGTCCAAATCACTCCTCCCGGGAACCCCGGGAAGAGCTCCGGCGATTGGCCCACATGTCTGTCAGTCTGGTGGAAGAGCACAAGCCCCGCCCCCCGCCCCGGGAGTCACTCAACTGGTAGAGGATGGTGGACCTCCCTGCGTTGTCCAGTCCCACGAGGGGGCATCGGAGGGAAGGGCAGGGTCAGGGCCCAACGCGATGGCCCAGGGACTGTGTGACCCACTAGACCCCCCCACGGAGGCCGCCAGGGTCACTTCCCCAGGGTACCACTCTGCTCCCCCGCCCCACATGGGGCTTCTCTCCACACTGGGCTGCAGACTGGACTGGCATGCCTGTTTCTTCCAATTATCTGTGAGTCCTACAAGGCAGGGTTCATATCTTGTTCACTCGTGTACCCCACACACACTCACCTGGTCCAGTGCCCAGCCCACAGAAGGAATGTGTTGCTATTGGATTGAAGGACGGTGAGTTAAGCTACAACCTGAGAAATGGTTTTGGAGTATTTAAAAAAAAAAAAAAAGTGTGTGTACAAGTTGAAGAGAATGGAGGAAGACAGGGAAGTTTGTGGAGAAGAGAGAAAAGAATTCACTTAGTACAGAATTTTCATTTCCCCCGCCTCCCCCCAGATTCCTAGCAGAGTTAGAAGGAAGAATTGGCTAGCGGACCCCATCTGGCTGATTTCACTTCAGCCCGGGGAGGGGGGGGGGGGAAAGAGCTGGGGCTGCGGCTGGGTGAGGAGGGTGAGGGCACAGGAGGGTGCTGAGGGAAGCAGCCATGTGTTAAGCATTTTCACCATCTGTTTCCTGGGGGTGGGGTGGGGGACCTCTTCGTGTACCTCGCCTCCTCCTCCTCCACCACCACGTACAGAACGGAAAGTGACGTTCGGCTAGCTGGAGCACCTTCCGTGAACAGGCCAGGGCCAGCCTTCGCTGTGAGGCCAAGTCCGGATCTTAGGGGCATTTCACTCACTTTTCAGTTATTTGACAAACAGGAGTCAGGAGGTAGGAAACATGCCAACTGGACAAAACAGGCCCAGTCTGGGTCTTGTGAAGCTTACTGTCTGGTGGGGAGACAAGCACACGTACCAAAAACAAAACCACGGAAACAAACAAAAACCCTGGGAGGCAGTGGACGGGAAGGTCTGACTGAGAAGGGCGCCAAGGTCTCTTCTCCGAGGATGGCTCCCTGGAGCTAAGACGGGCCTTTTCTCGCGCGTCCTGGCCGGGAACACCCCTCACTTCTGGGCGGTCATGGCCCGCTCAGCTGGTTTTATTTCTGATTGGTGGAAACCGTCAGCCACACCTGGGACTGACGCTCGCTCTGGTGCAGAACATACTGCAAAGACAGAAGCAGCTAGTCAGGAGTGTGTTTCTGAACTCCTGAGGTGGCTGTGGTAGCAGAGCCAGCCTCTCTGGGCCTCATCACAGCCAGCTTCATAGTTGTTGACGTCCTGTGCTGTGTCGGTTGAGAGCTTGTGGTTACCAAGAGACAAGTCTCAGCCGCCTTTCCTCTCTCTCTCTCTCCTCCCAGTATCTCCAAGCCACCTAGAGATGCCCCTGCCTGTTTGTTCTGGGCAAATGCAACTTCAGCCAGAAGGCACATGGGAAAGAGACATACATTCAGACACCTGCTCCCCCTCCCTTCCCCACTCCGCTCTGCTCCCAGAAGCTGGGCATCTGGGGGACTGGGGAATGAGCCCTAGACTTGGGGGTCACGGACACCACAGAACTTGAAATCCAGAGCTCTGAGTCCAAGTTCTTGCTCCAATGCCATGTACAGTACCTATGGACAAGCTGCTGGATCTCTCTGAGCTTTATCTGTAAATGGTGGTTAATAATCCTTGCCCTTGGCATAAAAATACCAGGCTCCCCGCAGGCTCCTGACCAAGCACTTGGCTGCCTCTGCTCTTCTCCTCTGGGATGTCCTCCCTCAGCACCATAAACCTCCCCTTGTCCAAAGCCAGGCTTGTTTCTGCCTCTAACTTGCTTTCTTTCTACAACTCAGTCACCCAGACGCCTCCCTCTCTCACTGACCACCTCCAATTGCTCTTCAACAGCTCTCCATTCTGTTAGACATCTCTGGTAGCCACAGCCTCCTCTCCCGTCCCACTGCTGCCGTGTAGGGCAGGCCTTCTCATCTCTTCCAGGCTAGGCCCTCCAATCTATGCTCCAATCGGCAGTCAATGCAGTCTTGCGATTGCTGCGTGCAGTCCTTTAATTTCTTCAGGACAAAGCCCGAACTCCTTCATGTGACAAGGTCCAAGGGGACCTGCTTCTGCTGACCCTTCTCTGATCACACCTTGAGAGCATGCTTTGCTGGTGAAGTCCAAGAACATGTCCTGTATGTCACTGTCTCCTCTGCCTTCAACACTTCCCCACTCCTCTGCTCAAGCCTTGCTTCCTTCAGGAAGTTTCTCCTGGTCTCCTCAGAGTTAGGGGACTCAAGCCCTGACCCCTGTTCCAGGTTCTCTCAGAACCCAGTGCTCCCCACATCAGAGAGCTCACTGTGCTGTCTGAATCACCTGTGCCTCCCATTTAGACTAGGTGCTCCCATAGTAGGTGCTCAGCAAATGTTTGTCCAGAGATTAAACAAGGAAATGGATGCACTGAGACAGTGCAAAGAGCACAACCCGGGAGGCAGAGACTGGACTCTAATCCCAGCAGCGCTAGTGGACCCGGGTGGGCCAGCCACTGGGTCTGAGGGCTGCCAGCTCCTCTCCCCGGGTCAGCTAACCCCTCAGCGAGGGAGGTCTGTTGCCCTCTCTCTCACACACACACACACACACACACACACACACAGAATAGAGCAGCCCTCGGGTTAAAGACCCAGGAGCTCATCCTTCAGGTCCAGCAGCACCCAGAACTAAGAACCAGGTGCTAGCGCAGGGGTCTTCAAACTTCTCTCATGATGAGAATCACCTGGTGGAGTTGTTAAAACACAGATTCCCGGATCCCAACTATAAGAAGTGCTATCAGGAATCTGTTTTAACACCTCCACCAGGTGATTCTCGTAATGAGAGAAGTTTGAAGACCCCTGTGCTAGAGACTGGATGCAGGTGACAGACAGCAGTAACAACCTTCAGAAGTCCACATCCTGCCAGCTGCTGGGGGCAGGAACCGGCAGTCACCTGCTGACTAGCTTTCTCTGAAGCTGGGGCAATCCCCATCCTCCCTGCCCCTCCCCCACGGCTGGGGAGCAGGGGCTGGGAAGGGGGTAGTTGTGGGGGCTTCAGGGGAGAAAGCCAGACACAGTCCCTCCCTCTCCTGAGCTGCTGGGGAGCAGCGGAGGCCCCAGGAGCAGAACAAGCACAAGCCTTTAACATTGTGCCAGCGGGTGTGGATCTCACAGGACACCCCATTTCTCCACCTCAGCTCCCCATTTTCCCTGGCTCTGCTGAAGGGGAGGTGGGTTTGGTGCCCAGTGTGGGGACTGAGCCTGGCTACCCAGCTCGGTCAGGTCTGAGCGTAATGCATGCATCAGCCACAAACCAGCCACATCTCCTGTGGAGTAAACAACTGCAGACACAGCTCCCTCCGGCACCCCCCCCCCCCCCCCCCGAACAAAGCAGGCTCGGGAGGCCGCCCCGAAGGACAGGATGGCGGGTTTATATGAGGCAGACACTCCCAGGGGAGTAAAGACGAACAGATGGACGGATGGAGGCACATGGTACCGGACAGGAGGGGGAAAGGTCGGGCAGTGGTCTCTTCTAACCAGTTCGTGGAAGCTGCACCCCACCCCCAGGTGGGGGGTGGGACAACATTGGCACAGGAGGTGGCGAGACAGGCATGAGGTGCCCATCCCTGAGGTGGGCAGCCGGGCAGGGCCCAGTCCTCGTTGGCACAATCGGCTCTCTCTGGCCCAGCTGGGCTGAGGGGATGCCAGGAGGGGCAGGCTGCTGGGCTGAGGGGATGCCAGGCAGAGGGACACTGGGGTCGGAGGGGGATGGGAAGGCCTCTCCTGGGGGGGGGGAGTGGAGTGGACATGGGTAAAGAGCAGGATCACAAGAGGCAAACACAGAGCAGCAGCAGCAGCAGCAGCAGCCACGCCCCCCAGAGGGATCCGTGGTCCCGGGGGGCAGTGATCACTTCTTGGGCACCAGCCCCAAGGGCCTCTCTCCAGGGGTTTTGGGGGAGGATGAAGGGGCAGTTTTTGGTTTCAACATGAGGCGGACCAGAGTGTTCCATGGGCCCCACAGGGGTGTGGAGGGCCCTCTTCTGGTGGCAGCAGGCAAGGGACATTGTAGGCCAAGCTCATTCCTGGGGCAGGTCAAGGCTGAGGCATGGGAGGTGGGGGCGGTCGGGGGGGGGGGGGGGAGTGTCTCCAATCGCCCACTCCTCAGGGTTAGGTCCTGGGTGGGCAGATGGCACTACACCTGATGCCCATCAGTTTCTACCCAGACACCCCCCGCAAGGGGCTTCCAGCCGGGAGCTCCCTCTTACAGATGCTGCCAGAAAGCTGGGGGTGAGGGAAGGAGGGGGAAGCTGGGCATGAGGAGGGACCCTGGCCTGGAGTTTGGGAAGAGAACACTCACGGAAAAGCCTGTGGTCTCTCTCTCTCCAGGAAAAGCCCCCTGCCCCTCCCCAAGTCCTCCAGGTTGGAAAAAGGGGCCTCCCGGCTGAGAGGCCCAAGTAGAAAGAGCTAAGGAAGCGCACCTTTTCTCCGGGAGAGTGAGGGGACAGAGACCCCCCGAGGTGGGGAAGAGGAGACACTGCAGACAGGTAGGTGGGCATCCCCCCTCCAGCCACCGCGGGGAGATAAAACCCTACAGCTGGAGCTGAAGGGACTCCCAGGAGCTGGGATGCTACCACCTTAAAACAACAAAAACAAAACAAAAAACCAACACTGAGCAAAGGCATCTGAAAGAGAAGCGCCCCTGGAGGTGAGACACCTCCCGGGGCTCAGCGTCCTTCCCCCCAGAGCGGCCGGCTCAGCGGATGTACACGCCGCGCCCCCAGCCCTCCAGCTCGTTCTTGTTGCGGCCCAGCGCCGGGCCGCCGCCCTCGGCGCAGGAGCGGGCCTTGTTCCGGCCCCGGTTCCGGTTGTCAGTCAGCTCCTCCTGGTAGTCGTCCTCCTCGTCCTCCCAGGACCCCTGCCGAGCTGGCGGGGTGCTGCCCCCGGCGGGGTCTCCCAGCCCGGGCCCCTCGGAGGGGTCGGTCTCCATGTCCACGCACGAGTCTCCCAGCTCGGTGTAGGCAGAATTTCGGTTGCCGGAGGCGTCGGCATCGAACGTGTCTTGGCGGGACAGTGCCCGCACGGTGCCCGCCCGGCCTGGTGGGTGGCCGCCGGGGTACAGGCCTGGGGGCTGGCCCAGCTCCCCCGGGTACTCGTGCACGCTGGCATGCTCCCCCGTGGCCCGGTCCAGCGGCTGGTCCCCAGAAGCAAGGTAGGGTCCCTGGTTAGCAGACAGGCGGCACACACCATGCGGATCAGGCAGGGGTGAGAGAAACACAACAAGGCAAGGCAGGTTAGTGATGGCACCCAGGCACCAGCCTGGCTGAGGGAGGAGGGGGCTGACTCCCTGCCAAGGACGCCCAACCTTCCCACGGCTGAGGAGGCCTGAACTCTCCCGGTTACCATGACACAGACCCCACGAAGAACAATTAGTCATCGCCTCCTCCACACACGTCACTAATGCTGTTTGGGGGGTAAGTCGTCATTAACAGCTCATTAGTATCGCCACTCATTAGTGGTTGATCGGGTTAGTCATTGCTCCGGTTTCCCAGACGCACTAAGGGGATCTCAGCTCAAGCTCACGAACCCCAGCTCCTTCAGTCCAAAGCAGACCCACGCTCCCTGACCCTAGTCAAATGACAGACTTCCTCCTCTGCCCCCAGCAAAGACTCAAAGTAGCAGGCGAGGGACAGCCGATGGGGCTCCATCCCCACAGGAGGTGGCCCGCTGCCCTGGTGGCCTGAGGGCCACTCCCATCTCAGAGGCCTGGGCCCTGGTCCTGCCCCTTTAAGTTGGGTGATGACTTAAGCAAACGACGCGCCTGCCTGTGGCCCCGTTTCCCGGTGGTGGTGTGATGGAGATGAGAACAGCAGTCTCCAAACTGTTCCCCTGAGATCCGGGGAGGCGTGGGAGGGCACAGAAGTGCTCCAGGGGTCCCCGTGGAGGCCACGCCACCAGCTCCCTCTGAGCGGAGCAAGGATGGCTGGCGTATCCTGAGCTTCCACATAAGATTCAGTGAACAAATTTGAAAAGCAATGGTCTGGAATGGGTTTTTTTTGTGTTTTTTTCTGGCTCTAATCGAGAATCAATGCGTAATGATGTGATCTCAGGGATGGGCCATGGCTCCACGGGAGGAGGGAGAGGCAGGGCAGGGCGCCCACAGGAAGCCTTTCCCGGGATCTGTTTAACTGGGAGAGGAATGGAAGGTTCAGCATCAATCACCGAAGATGCTACATTCTGGGTCCCTTCCGAGGGGCCTCCTGTGGTTAGGGCTCTGGGGAAGGGGACAGTCGCTTTGGGTTTAAAGGCCCCTGCTGGCCCTGACCGGTTTGGCTCAGTGGATAGAGCATCAGCCTGCGGACTCAAGGGTCCCGGGTTCGATTCCGGTCAAGGGCATGTACCTTGGTTGCAGGCACATACCCACTGGGGAGTGTGCAGGAGGCAGCTGATCGATGTTTCTAACTCTCTATCCCTCTCCCTTCCTCTCTGTAAAATATCAATAAAATATATTTAAAGGCCCCTGCTTTGTGGTATTTCCTGCTCTGTTGGGTCTACAATTCTGTGACCACTATTGGGCATGGAGTCCAGTGAATGACTCTACCAGTCTTCAGTCTTCTCCATGTTTTCTTCCTAATCATTTGACTTACAGGCCCCCCCAATCAGGCCTCACCCCCAAAAGCCCCCCAGGCAGCAGATGTAGTCCTAGGGGAACAGGCCCAAGGAGTACCATCAGCCCGCCCCAATCCCATACACAAACCACAGACACCAGAAGCTGCTGCTCACCACGTTTTTCTTTACAAAATAGAGCTCTTTCCTTCCTTCGCCATGATCCCTGTTCTCCAATTCCCGGCCGTGGGCAGGAGGGGAGATGTGGGGGGACGGGGTACCTACATGGCGTGCTCCTGCAGCTGGGGCACGGCGGCCTGCTGTGCGGCCTCCAGCCCCCCCGAGAAGCTGAGGTTTCTCCTGAGCGAGGTGAGCACCTGTACCTGGAGGTTGGAGACAGGGGCGGGGCTGGCGGCCAGGGCGGCGGAAGCCATGGTGCGGTTCAGCAGCGGGTTGGGCGGAGTGCTGCTGGGCGGGTGTGTGGCCTTCCAATAGGCTTCCAGGTATTCGGCCAAGTGCTCACAGGCGTCCTCCAATTGGTTCTCGTCCAGGATGATGTCAAACATTTCCTGTGGAGGCGGGGTTAGGGGGAGGGCCAGGATGAGCCAGGCATGACCTGGGGGTTGTGGGTGTGGCCTGGGCACAGTGGGCGGAGAGTCAAGGGGTTGAAGAACAGGGCCCAGAAAGAGAAGGGGGGCTCTCAGATGTGCACTGGCAGAACTACAAAGGGTCTTGGCACCCACACGGTCCAACTACCTCATACTGGACTTGAGGTTTAGACGCCCCAAAGAGAAGTGGTACTTCTGGGGCTCGAAGCCAGTCTCTGACTGCGTGCCCAGCACTCCTTCCCAGAAGACCAGTCTGCACCTATGGCCCCAGCCCCGGTGTTCCTGGTCACTGTCTCCCAGCAGGCCAGAGGAAACCAGAATCCAAATGCCACCCCCTTCCCCCGGGGTCTGAGCACTCACAGGCGGACACTGCGCCAGCTTCTCCGAGGCCGCTATTTGCACATTGAGGTGTTTGGACTGAGACTTCCCTCGAGACTTGATGAGCCTCTGAAGTACCTGGTTTGGGGGGAGAAGAGGGAACCCCAGAAATGCACTAAGTCAGAGAGGCAGGTCCTGGTTAAGGCTAGCGTGGAGAGCCAGTGTCAAGGCTAGGCCACCTCTTTAGAAATCACCTCACCAGCTCTGTCTCCACCCTGCACAATGCCCAGGCTCTCTCCTGGGTCTCATGCCAACATGATCAATTCATTTCGTCCCGGCAATAATCCCATTAGGTGGCCACTGCCATGATTTTCACTCAATCATAATAATACCAATAGCTGAAAGAAACCCAGAGCCTTAACTAAATGATCAAAGCTGACGTCACCAATGATGCAGCAAACCAATGTCATGTTCCTCGACGCAATGCAATCAGGAACGCATGGCTTTGGTGAAAACTGAAGATGGACTGCATTCTAGATAACGCTTCTTGGATTTGACAATTATACTGTGATTAATGCCCTTGTTCTTAAGCAATACATGGTGGAATAAAGGCATACAATACCTATAACCTACTATCAAATCGTTATGTGTACGTAATACATACATACATACATACATACATAAGATAAAGTAAATGTGGCAAAATGTTGAGAATGAACCAATCTGAAAAAAAAAATGTATTGCATACTTTAAATGGCTGAACTGAATGGTACATAAATTATACCTCAATAAAGCTGTTAAAAATTAGCATATCCAAGTGAGGGCATTCAAAGGATGAGAGTTCTTTGGACTATTCTTGCAACTCTTCTATGAATAAAAATCTTTTTAAAAATAAAATACAGTGCTTAGCAGGTACCAGCCACTCTGCACGGTTAATCCATTTATTTGATCTTCACTATCACTACGTGAAGATCCCCATTTTACAGAGGAGGACACTGAGGCATAGAGAGGTCAGGTGACCTGCCAAAGGAGCACAGAGCTGGTGAGTGGCGCACTGGGACACAAACCCAGGTGGCCTGGGGAATGGACGAACTGGTACTTTCTAGATCACAAAGTGTTTTTGCGACCTTATTGGATCCTTTATCTTATTGGGTCCTTTCATCTACTCCAGGAAGTACTTAGATCCATCATCCCCTCTCTGCTCATTAGAAAGTTAGGACTCAGAAAGGTTAAAGTAACAGTACTCAGCTCCCAGGGTGCTCAGCTCCAGGGTGCCCTCATGAGGTAATAACAGTTACCACCTCTGGTTGCCATCATGAACTCTGGGCTCTCTACGTCATTACCTCAAACCCTCTCAACAATCACACCGGGGAGGGGTCCTAATCCCCATTTGACAGGTGAAGAAAGGAGGTCAGAGGCCTCAATTTCAATAAAAAATAAAAATAAAAAAGCAACAAAATCTAATTGATAAGCCAACCACAGTCAGGATTTGAACCCCATGCTGTCTTCTGACTTCAAATCCTGCACCTACACTTGCCCTCCATGCGTCTCAAACCCCCACTTCTTCCCCCACACTCGCCCTGCATGTTCCTCCCCATTAACATCTAGGAGGTAAAGCTAATGGAGCCGCAATATGACGAAGAAGTGAATCCCACGGATTTCATCTCTATCAAGACCCACGTGAGGACAGAGCAGCAAAAAGGGTTGAAACCAAAAAGCAGGAAGGACCTCCCGCTGTCAAGCAGCTGGGTGACACCTGGGATAACACGCACAGAAGCCCAGTTTTCTGGATCAAGAGTGGGAGGTTAACCAGAGCAGAGATAGGGGACTGGCCTGCGTGACCCTAATGATAATATTTGTATTAAGATTTATAGAGTATAATTAGCTAATACATGATGAGCTCCATTATACCAGAACCTTTGCTAAGTCATAAGTATTCCCATTAGGTTGAATCTCCACAATATCCATGCGATGGAGTTGTACAGAGCAGGAAAGTGAGGCGGGGTGATTAAGCCACATCGTTAGTAAGCAGCAGCTGGGATTTGCACTGGCAGCCAGACTCCCGAGAGCGCCTGTCCCCTCTCGGGTCCGGCGTCTGCACTCACCTTAGGAGAGGTGATCTTGATGTAAACAATGATGGGGGCCAGTGAGGTCTTGGAGAGTTGGGCCGGGTGGTTGATGGTGTCGGCGTCCAGAGCAACCAGCTGAAGTGTCCGGGCCAGCTCGAAGATTCGCTCGATCTCGCTCTGAACCTCAGCTGGGGGTACACGGAGTCGTGGAGAAGGGGAAATGTAAGGGAGCAGTGGGTGGATAGAACACTTCTGGAGATGCCCCCTCTCCCTCTCTCCTCCCACATCTGGCTCCAGAAAGTCTGGTCGCAGAAAGCAGGGGCGGGGGATTCAGAGAGGGGCTCACCCAGGCTGGAGCGTGTGTTGGAGCGCTCAATGATGATGTGTTTGCTGGGGTTGTTGAGGACTGAGCGCTTAGCCAGGGAAATGTCCGCTGTCACCCGAGTGATGGAGATCCTGGGATGGGGCAGAGGGAGGAGCCAGGGGTCAGGTGGGCTAGAAGGCCCTGCCTGCTCCCCAGGCTTGAGGCCTGTCTCCCATCCCTCAGGCCAAGAGTCCCAAACTACCATTCAGGCCATCGTGCCCATCGCCAGCAGCAGCGGCTGCAGGGGCCACGGAGACCTAGCTCCCGGGGTCTTACCTGCCATCAAACCGATGCTTCAGGAAGTCAAACAAAGCTTTCTGCATCATGTCTGTGACCTGAGGGTGGGAGTCGGGGTGGGGGAGAAGTCAGGTGTTTAAAAAGCCACCACTCGGCAAGAGTGGGCTGCTGGGAAGATGCACCTTCCCACTCCATTTTCTTCTTAAACTCCTGACATGAATGGGACCCTGGGGTAGAGGAGTCTTCTGAGTGTAAGGAGCCTCTCGTGGTTCTTCTAGGTGGTGCCTCCGGGAGGACTCTTCTGGGGAATTTGGGGGGAGGAACTCGACCCTCTGAGTGGGTCTCCCTGGGGTCGGGCCCCCCTGGGAAATTTCTCTGAAAGCCTGTAGCCCTCTGGGGAAGACACCGGGAACCTGGGCCCTTCGAAACCTCTGGGGTCTCTCTGAAGGCCTGGGCCCCTCTGGGACCACTCCCCTCCTGGACTCCTACCTCATAGCCCTTGAGCGACGGTCCCACCAGGATGATGGGCCTCATGGAAGGCACCACGTCATAGGGGGGCACGTGCTCTGTCTGGAGAGGAGGCAGGGAGGGGAAACCCCAGAGTGGAGATGGCATGAGCCCCTCTCCCCCAGCCTCCAGGCTCCCCCATGCATCCGCTCCTCCCCCTGGCCCCAGGCCCAGATGTGGGGGGATCAGGGTGAGGGGGGGAGGGATGGCAGGGATGGAAGGGTGGGGAAATGGGGCAGATACGGGAATGGGTGTTAGATGACCCCCCTAGCTCATCCCAAAGGGTGGGGAGCGGGGACACAGAAAGCTGTGATACTCACCGATTTCTGCTTCTGTTTGGCTGGCTCCAGAGATTGCCAAGAGGGGGGGGGGGAGGAGGGAGATTGGGGAGGGCACCCAGGCAGGGGCAGAGAGCGAGGAAGGAGCCAGGACAAGAGAGGGAGGGGGAGTGGGCAGACGAGGAGAGATAACAGGGCATGCGTGTTAGTGACAGACAGAGCCAGAGAGAGGGGACGGGACCCCATGCCAGGGGTGGGAGCCGGAAGTGGCCTGGATCAGGGCTGGGGGTGGGATTGTCAGTCAGTCCGGGGGGCCTCAGAATACTCAGACGCGCCAAGACCCTCTTTCTGGGTCTTGGACAAGAGCTGGGAAGGGTGACAGCCCCTAACTGGGTGCCCACCTCTTGCCCTAGTACCACCCACCTGCCCATTTTAAGAGTTCTCTTGACTGTCCTGCTCTGTAGCCAGTAGACCCCCATGGAGTCCGAAAAGGGCACAGAAAGGTCACCATGCCACTCCCCTTCACAGTGGGGGGGAGGGGCAAACATGGGCTAGCACAGTGGTAGTGAGGGGAAAGGTCATTACCACTCACTAGATTCTACTTCTGGTTGGGGGTGGGGGGGGGGGCAGCTTTCCAAGGGAAGGGGTGCTTTGATGTCAGGAACGACCCCTTCCGGGCAGGGTTTTGTGTGGAGACAGACTCGCCTGACCTCTGTGCCATCCCCCCTCCCACCTCCTCCGCAGGCAGCCCCGATCCCCCAAAAAAATCAGGGTGCCACCTCATCTGCACCCATCCCGGCCCCCTCACAATCTGGGCCCTGACCCCTCCCCTCTCACAAGAACCCCGAGAGGATTACCTTCTTGAAGAAGGAGATGCGCTTGCCGTGGGGTGACGGGGTGGTGACGCTGCTAACACTAGTCTTGGCGGAGCCGCCAGGCTCCCCAAGCTCGGCCTCCATGTCCTCTAACTCTAGGGGGTCTAGTTCAAACGCTAAGTTAGTCATTTCGTTACCTGGACCGGCGGGCGAGTCAGGAGAGAGGGAGGAGGGAGGCGAGGTGGGGAGGAGTGAGATGGACAGGGAGACACAGATACAGAACGCAGGGATGGGATGGGGGGAAAAAGAAAGAAGAAGAGGTGAATGGAACAGGGTTGGGAGAAATGAATGGGGGGAGGGGGAGGGGAGTCAGGCAGAGAAATGGAGCTACCAAAGAAATGGGAGAGGAGAGGCAGGAGAGGATGGGTGCTGCCTGGCCCAGCTCGTGGGGTGCCCTACTCTTCATGGAGAGGGGACCCCTGGAGGTGTGTGGAGGACTCAGGAACAGGGTACCCTCTCCTGCAGGGGAAGGAGGGAGAGGGCAGTGGGGAGACCACCCCACCCAGAAGCTCCCCTGACTCCCCGGGGGAGGAAGCAGCTCTTACCACTGGCAGGGGGTGTGGGGCGGCGGGTGCCAGTCACCACGTCTCCCAGACTGGAGCTGGAGTTGTCACCTGATTTGCTGTGTGGGTAGAGAGGCAAATGGAACTGTGAGCGAAGGGGTGGGTGTGAGGGTGGGGGGGGGGTGGATCTCGGTTCTCTCACATGCTGTCCTGCCCCCAAGATTCTCCAACCCCACTGGTGAGCCACAGGCAGCTCTGTGCCCTCAGGGCGACCCTGAGGCCAAGTCCTGGGGGAGGCGTGGCCTCTCCGGGGTTGGCAGTGCCCTGCCCCCCGCCGCACACCTGGAGCTGAGGCGGTTCTGGCGCAGCTTCTGTTCCTGCAGCAGGCGCAGGCTGTCCAGTTTGACGGGGCTGGGGATGAAGCCCACCTCACAGCCCTCCTTCACCAGCCGCCCGATCCACCAGTCGTTGTTGTATTTCTGCAAACAGCGGCGGGTGGGGTAGGGAGAGACCGAGAGGGGGATTGGAGGTGCAAGCTAGCAGCCACCTTGTGGGGGAATTTACCCTCCAAGTCGCCTACCCAGCCCCGGAGTTGGCACCCTCAGAGAGCCCCGCCCCTGGCCTCCGAGCACAGCCCCCATGCTCAGGACAACTCAGGACCAGCATCCTCTTGGGCCACGGAGCACCCTGCCCCCAGCACATCCCTGTTCTGAGTCCTCCTTCCCCATGTGTCCGTCCTGCCCTGGAAAGGCGAGGAGAGAAGCAAATGCTGGCCACCTCCGTGAGCCTGGCAAGCTGCCGCTCCAGTGACAGGCCTCATCGCCATCCTGCCCAGCCACCCAGGGACCTAGGCATCACCACCCGTTTCAACAGTGAAAGACTAGAGGCTCAGAGAGGTGGAAAGGCTTGTCTAAGATTGCACAGTGGGCTCAGCCCAGCTCTGCTTGGCCCAGAAGTCTTTTCCCAGGACGGTTCCAGATGCCCCCTCCTGGTACCCACTGCCCTCCGGACGCCAAGCGCTCTCTCCACCTCTTTGATGTGCAGGAAGTCCTTGGGCTCGAAGGTGATGGCCACTCCCTGCACAGGCACCTCGTCCCCCGGAGACGGGTTGTAGCCGACATTTGTCCGAACAGCAAATGCCACCGGCTTGGTCTAGAGGAGGCGCAGGGAGGGTGACAACCGGAGGGTTAGACCGTCACATAAAAATGTGCAACTTCTTGACTGGGGTGGCCATGATGTGGAGGGTTGTTTTATAAATGGTTCATTAAAAGGTATACCGGATGGCTTGGTAGGGTTTTTGCATATATGTTAATTTTCACAATTAAAAAAGCAAAACATAGCCCTCTCGGGTGGGGGGGGGGCACTGGGGAGTGATAAGTATTAGGGGTGGGGGAAGCCCAGAATGACACCCAAAAGGAATAATAATAATGATAATAATAATGATTAGCATTTTATATAATAAAAGCACAATATGCTAATTAGACCAGACAGCCTCTGAGTCAAACTTCCTGTGGCTGCGAGGGCTGAGCCCCTTGCACGAACTTGAGCATCGGGCCTCTAATAATAATAAGCTACTGTTTAATGTGCCAGGTACTGTGTTACACGTTTCACATGCTTTACCTCATTTATTTATCACAAAAATCCCAGGAAGTATTGTTATCTTCCTTTTACTGAATGAGGAGACTAAAGTTCAGAAAGGTCAAGTGACTTGCCTAGGATCACTGTGCAGCCGGCTAGTAAGAGCAGCCCAGGAAGTGGCTCCAGAAGGAAGTGTACATTTTTGGCACTTCTCAAGCTCCCATTCCGTGAGGAAGCAGTGTTAGACACATCATCCTGAATAAGCAGGCAGCATTACAGCCCACATTTTGTAGGGGAAAGACAGAGGCACACTGAGGCCATGGGTATACCAGCTAGGAAGTGGCTGGGCCCAGTCTTGACCCTGGGTCTTTCTAGGCTGTCTCTGAAGCCTGGGACGGGGGAAGGGAAAGGGGGGGAGAATAGGACAGCACAGCCCCTCCCTTCTTTCTCACCTTGGCTTTCTCAAGCTGGGCTAATGCCTGGCGCTCTGCCTCCTTCCTTAAGGCTTCCCGGTCCTCCTCCAGAGACACGTCAGAGTCCGATGGGCGGCTGGTATAGGACTCCGCAGAGCCCTGAAAAGACAGGACCAGCTCAGGGCCAACACCGCCTCCCCAGCTCCTGGGCCTCAGAAGGCGTGGAGATGCCACCCATCATGGATGCCTCAAGCCCCAGGCAGCCCAGCATGATGCCATGGGGCTAGGAGAAGGTGGCAGTAGAAGGGAGGAGTCAGGGACTGAGGTTTGCAGGCCACAGGAAAGATATGGCCCTAGGAAGGGTGAGAGCAGCAAGCCAGGGGGTAAGGCAGGTCCAAGGACAGCTGCTCAGGGCGGAACCTGATAGGGGCAGCGCAACAGAGGAGTGCCAGGGGACGAATCTCCCCTCCCTGCTCCTCACTCCGTCCCCTCCCCTCCCCTCAGCACCAGCGGAGACAGGCTCAGCAGAAGCCCAGGGGGTCCTTCCAGGGACGGCAGCCACCAGCGTAGGCCTGAGCTGTCCGCACTGTTGGCAGTGGGCAGCCTGCTTGGCATGATGGGACCACCCAAAACTCTGCTGTCTTGTGCTCAAGGGTGAGGGAAGACAGAATCCTACCTCCCCCGTCAGAATCAGGGGAGCCCCAGCTCTGCGGCTCTCAGAAGACAAAAAAGAAAGTCCAAGATGCCTGAGATGGTGCAGGCAGCAGAGGCCAGTGAGGAGCAGAACCTGGGGCTGCAGCTGCCAGGGTTAAGGCCGGCTCAGAAGTGGGGGGGGGGGGGCGGTGTGCCAGGACCACAGCGACCACCCCAGAGCATAGCTCCTTCCGCGGTGCAGGCACATGTGTAAGACACAAACAGTCCAGACCCGCATGTGAACGAACACGCTTCCTCATGGGTGCACTTGCATGTGCAACTTCAAGTCCATGCAGGAGGGTGTGTTCTATAGTATGTGCTGGATGTCATGACTGAGTGCAAGCAGGTACACATGAGCACATACAGGGGGCACCCTAGGGGCCAGTGTCCCTGAGTGTGTGCAGCCCCTGAGGGCAGGAGCCAGGCTGTGTGGGTTTGTGTGTCTGAGCAGCGGTGCTGTCGCTACAAGGGGTGGAAGGTGGTGTTGGGAAGACCAGGACTGCGGAGATGTGTGTGGGGGGAGGTGGGGGGGTTCTGGAGGGCAGGAAAGGGTCACTTGGGCAGAAATTTCCATGAGCTTGGTCCGGAGGGGACCTGAGAAGGAGAGAAGACACAGGCCCACCTCCCTCAGAGGGCCCTGGGCATTAGCTAGGCAGGTGTCCATCCTTTCCCAGCCAAAGCACGAAAATGGGAGGCTCCTGAGGCGACAGGTTGGAGGTGGGGGTGAGGTCACTAACGGAGGCTGGAGAAGAGACGTGAAGGAAGGAACGTGGAAACCAGCCCGACTCCCACTCTTCACCCCTCCTGGTGGGAGCCCTCAGCGCCCGGGAGACAGAGGCACAGAGAGCCGGAGACACAGACCCAGAGAGCACGACAGAGACGCACCCACTGACCGGCACACACATGCACACGCGCTCACACACATGCATGCACACAGAGACGGCAGGAATGGCAGGGGACAGGGAAACGGCGAGGAGGCAGAGAGGCAGGCTGGCGTGAAGCCCCCTTCGCCAGCTTCCCACCCCGCCCCCCGGCCGCTCCCACCCCGCCCCCCGGCCCCAGCTCACCACCACGAGGGTCCGGCTGGGTGCCTCCATATCAGCGCCCTCAGTGCCCGGCCCCGCTGGCCTAGGAGGTGCCCAAACTGCCCGTCCCCCCCGGGGGCTCAGGTTACAAGCAGAGTTGCTACATGTGCAAACTGCTGGGGTATATTTAGCTCAGAGATGTGGCAAGGACTGCCCCCCCCCCCACTCCCTGCCACCTACTGGGGGTCAGGACTAGGGAGAGGAGAGGGGAGAGGATGAGAGGGGTGATAACTGGGGTCTGACGACCTGGGTGACCAAACACTGAGGGAACCACGTCCTTTTCCTGTCCAGGGGGTTTTACACTGAGAGCCAGCATCGTTCTTCCTGGCCCGGTCCCGCAACAGGAGGGATGGAGGAGAGACTGAAGGAGGGACTTCCTGTGTGTGTACGTAAGCGATGCTGGGATGAAGGGTGCCTTCCTGGGCTCCCTGGGCCCAGTGCTGGGGAAACAGGCATCAGAAAGAAGGGCCGCACTCCCGTCTGTGTGGTACCATCTGCCTGGTACCCTCCTCCCTCTCCGGGTCCGAGAGGGGGCGAGACCTCCACAGGGCCCTTCCTCCCAAAGACCCCTGCCCTCCTGTGCCCCGCCCACTTCCTCTGCAACCTCTTCCTTTTCCTGGTCTGATCCCCAGCCCCTCTCCCTTTTTTGGGTTGAGATGCTCCGTAGTCATAGCAACCACATGCTTCTCCCTGAGCCTGAGACGGCCAGGGTTGAGACTTAGAACAGAGACGAGAACGGCATCTTCCTGACTGAGCACAGGAGACCCCGGGAAGCTGTTCAGTGGCCCAGCCTTCGGTCAGAGGGGCTGGCCTACAGTCTTCCCTAAAATCAACCCCCTCCCGCCGGTACCCCACCCCCTCCAGCACACGTCCTCTCTGCGTATTGAAGATCGGTCGCCTCTGGACACGGGGAGCCTTTCCCTGACCCACACCGAGCCAGGGCTCCAGGCACTCAAGTGTCCTGGCTCCTCGTTGCTCAGGACTCGCCTCTCCCCACCGCTGTCAGATCCCGGGGGAGGCCGTGGAAGCAGACAGCCGGCAGGGGGAGTGGGTGACAGCCTGAAGCGAGCTAGGAGGAGGCGAGCCAGGCTGTCCCTGAATGAGATGACGCAGGCAGGCCACAGGGGCTGGTGCCCGGGGCTGGGGGAGGGGCGGGCGGGGGCCGAGGGCGTGGTCACAGCTGACAGCACAGGCAGGAGAGGTCATGGGGTGTCAGCGTGATGGGTGGCTCCAGGCAGGCGACAAATGGCATGGGGGAGGGTGCCTGGAGGAAGCCTCAGGCCCGGCTTCGGTGAGCCGGGCTCCAGCAGCCAGCCCCCTCCCTGCTCCTGGCCCCCATCCCCGTTACCTGGCGCACAAAGCTGTTGGATGTCGTATCCGAGGACGTGCTCCCATCCGACCTTTTGAACCGGCCTTTCCTCTTGCTGTACTTGCCCTGCAGGAGCCGGGAAGGGACGAGAGTGGGATCAGAAAGGCCCTTTCCCAACCCTTACCCTATGGGGCCACAGCTACAGCGAAGCCTTGGAACCAGCATTCCCTGGTCTGAGCAGCCCCACCATATTCTTCCGGAGATGGTTCAGCCCGACGGGAGGGAGGGCCCAGACCACAGCCGGGGGGGGGGGGGGCAGTGCCAGAGAGCCCCAGGAAGTGCACACAGAACCCCCCAAACTGAGCCAGGGAGGCTGGGAGGGGGAGGCGGAGGAGCTGGAGGCTCCTAAGGCAGAAAGCTCATTAAGATGCTGGGCGGCTGCAGCGGCCTGAGGGGAGGGGAGGCCGCCCGCAGCGCTGGGGGGGGGGGCGGTGAAGAAACCCGGGGAGAGTCCCTCTCCCGCGCCCCCTCCGCTGGAGGGGAGCAGGGCTGAGTGTGCCCGAGGCCCCTAGAGAGACCAGGAACTGCCAAGTGCCAACAGGCCCCACTGGCTTTTCTTGGGCCCTACTCCTGTTTTCCTTTTTTGCAGAGTGGGCTGGGGAGGGGCTGCTCTCAGCTCTGGGAGACCCCAAACTAGGTTTTCGGGGAGCGGGAGAGGCGTGTGGTAAGTAAACATCTAACCCCGGCCCCCTGCCGTGGGGCATACTGGAGCTCAGCACTCCCTACCCTGGCAGGACTTCCTCTCAGGCCTCTCCTCACCACCACAGCGGGCACACCGCTCCCCGAGGGGGCGAGAGGGATCAGGCACCCTCCCACTCACCCCCAGCTGCCACCGCCAGCATCCCGTCCCCGTGGTACCCACCAGGCTGCATCAGTCTGAATGCCCCTTGGCCCTGCCCAAGAGGAGCCCAGGACACAGCCCCACAAGCCCCCGGGGGAGGCTGGCTCAGCCTCACTGCCGAGGCTCCTGGCTTGGCTGGAGGGGGCACTGCCCGAGCACGCAAGCAGCCGCACACCCTCCCCAACTCACCACGCACACGGACCCCAGGCCAGTCGGGGGAGGGGGGGTCACAATGATTGAGGGTTTAGGCCCTCCAAGCCCGTGCCCCCAGCCCGCATCCTAGAGATTCTTTACCAGAGAAGGTACTAAGCCATGACCAGACTAGGAGCTCCATCCTCCTCCTGATACTCGGGCCTAAGTACCAGGAGGAGGATGGACAGATGGGCAGGAAGGGCACCTGGGAACCCCAGAACCTTCTTTAAACCAGACACACACCCTGCCTCTGGAACCGGGATCCCGAACGACTTAAGAGGATCGCCCAGGAAGCTCGGACTCTTTCTCCCCCCACCCCCGGCCGGGAAAAGGGAGTGGCACCAGCGGACGAGGGACAGCTGGAAGAAAGGCCCGGCAGCTGCCTCGCAGGCTCCGAGGGGCCTGGGGTGGGGAAGGAAGGTATTTTTAGGCCTGACCTGGCCCCCGCCGCCGCACACACATGCAGATTAACCACGGTATCATGGCGGTTCCAGTTGCTGCACTCGGGCCACACACGGCCAGAAAAGAGTTAACGCTCTCCCTTGGGGTGTTGCCAGGTTAGAGAAGGACATGCCCCAGAGAAACCAGTCCAGACCCTGCCAGTCACTCCATGGGCACCCACCGCCCCGAGAATGCCCCTTCCTCGGAGAAAGCCGTGGGCACAGTTCGGTGGATTTTTTTTGGGGGGAAAGGGGACGGGGCAGCAGATCTCCTCCCCCAGGTAACAGCCTCTTCCCCTCCAGGACAGTGAGTTGGCATCCATCCAACTTTCCAAACTTTGGAGGCATTTTCCGGGGCTGAGGGGGGAGGGGAGGGTTGGCAGAGAAGGGAGAGCGTGGGTGTTGGGGTCGAGGAGCCGGTCCACTGTAGGGGTGTCGCTGACGTGGCCGGTGTGGGGAGCCTGGCCCCTTCCCCACTCTGAGGGCCACTGTCTGCGGCTCCCGAGGCCTTGGGGCGCCGCCCTCCCACTAGCGGCTCGGCCATCTCCCAGGCCACCCCCGCCCCACCCACCCCGCCAGCGCCCGGAGCGTGCCCGGCGTCGCCCCTCTGCCTGAGCTCGCTCTCCAGCCTCCCTCCACCCCGGGATCCCCCCTCCAACACCCCATCCTCAACCCACTGGGACCTGTACCCGAGCGGCAGCGACCCGAGGGAGCGAGGGTGACAGGCGCTCCGACCGCCGCCGCCTCCTCCGGCTCCGCAAAACCGCAGCCCCGTTCCGGGCCAAGCGCCCATCAATCACGAACCCGCAGGCACCCGGGCTCCCCTCCCCCGAGCAGGCGCCCCTCTCCCCTCCGCGCCCGGCTCTAACCCTTTCCTCCCCGGCGCCCTCCGGCCACCCTCCCGGGGTCCCCGGGGCGGCCCTGCCCCGGCCGCGCCGCCGCGCCTCACCTGCGGGCTGGGGTCGAAGACCTCCATGGGGATCTCCTGGGAGGGAGGGTACGGGCCCCGCGACATGCTGGGCTTCTGGACCATGGAGAGGGGCCTCCGCTCCGGCCGCCCGCCCGGCCCCGCCGGGCGCCCTCAGCGCGCGAGAGGCCGGAGGCACCGGATCCAGCCACCTGGCCCTGCCCGCGGCCGCCCTGCCTGCCTGCCTGCCGGCCCTCCCTCCGCCGCCTCCCCCGCCCCGGAGGCTCCGCATCTCCCCCCGCCCGCCCGCCGCTCCCGCCCCCGCCGCGGCCCCGCCCCCGAGCCCCTCCGCGGGCGCCGCGCACGGACAATGGGAGGCGGCGGGAGCGGAGCGCCCCTCCTGCCCCGGCCCGGCCCGGGGTGCAGGCGGCCCCGCTGCGGGCAGGGGTGGGGGTGGGGGGAGAGACTCGCCTGCGGGTTGGGGGCCGGGGTGGCGGTTTACCGGGGATGCCAAGCGCTAACGGAGGTGTAACGCGGCTTAGCTTGGCTGGCACCGTGCCCCCGCCCCTTCCGTCCCAAACCGCTCTTCCTAGCTGGTCTCCCCACTCCAGCTTGGGCCCCCGGGACTTCTGGGTCCCAGGGACCCGGCTTTAACTGCTTTCTCCCCTGGGGGAGCCCAGGCCCCCTGGACCCAAACAGAAAGTCCCCTCCCGCCTCTGACTCTGGGCTGGCCGGCGGGGGGCTGAGGCTGGAGTGGGGAGGGTGTCCAAAGGGAGTCCCAGCAGAGCCCAAGAAATCCAGGGACCCAGGGGGTCTTGTCTTAGCTGCTAGTACCCCCAGGCCCTTCCAAAAGGCAGGGGTTGGGGTTGGGGCTGGGGCTGGGGGAGGTCCGGGTTCTTGGGAAAAGAGAAGAAAAGGGAAGAAGAAAGGAGCTGAGAGGAGAAACCGGCTGAAATCAGATCAAATGACCATTGACCTAGGATTGCTCCCTCTTCATCCTTATTTGGGGACAAATAGCCAAGGCCTGGACCCCACTTACCACGCATTGATGTTCGGAGAGAAAAGGCCTAGGGGATTCTGGCAAGAGACCTTGGTGCCAACGTGGCCCAGGCTTTTTCTGGTCATGTGGCCCTGGACACATCACTACACCTTTTCTGTAAAATGGGGTATCTTTGTCGCCTGGGGTTGTTGGGAGGATGAGGGAAAATGAAATGAAATGACTGACTCCTGGGGCCTTTGGAGATGTTGTAAGGAGCAGTGTAGGGGTCAGTCATGACAGGAGGACCCGTTACCTCCCTAATCTACCCCTCCTGTTCCACAAAGAGGAGAGGTGAGAAGTAGAATGGAGATTTGGGCCGGCCTGCAACAGGTAGATGGCCAACCTAAGTTGTTTTTCTGATCACATCACTTTGAGAGACATTGCAGCTGAAACCCATTAGCATTGTCCTGCGAGCAGATCCAATCCCGAGCAGGATCCCCACCTGCCCATTGGGCAAAGAGAGCCTGGCATGACAGAAGGCATGGATTTTCAGTCACAAAGACCTGGACTTTCCATCTCTGTTACCTCACTTAGCTGTAACATGACTAATTGTGTTGTGAGGAAGCGGCATACATTTTGCTCCTCTTTCTCCCTTTTTGACCTGAGCCCTGATTAGCTGTGAGAAAAATTCCGCTAGCGATGCGGTAATCAGGTGGAGCCAGCACTCAAATCGAGGTTTCTTGGATTCCAGAATATTCTCCTCGGGTTTTTGCACTGGGTACGCCAGACCAGAGGGAAGAACTATGGGTTGTGTGGTCATTCGATTTTTTATTTTTTTTTTAACTTTCACAACTACGCACTCACTCAGCCAAAATACAATTTCTCTAGTGCACATGTGTCAAACACAAGGCCCGCGGGCCAAATCCGTCCCGCCAGGCCTTGCAATGTGGCCCGCACCGCGCTGTCATCACTGCACTCGGCTGCGTTTCCATCACAATGACAGTTTATGACTGTTCAGTAAACCATTCGGCCCGCGATTTAGGCTGGATTTTGGCCCCTTCTCTGATTGAGTTCGACAACCCTACTAGTGTGTTTACTAAGCTCTAAGCTCTAAAGCTGCTGTAGTGCCGTGTAAGCCAAACAAATTTCCCTCTGCCAAGGCGCTTGTCTTAAAGCTTCCCTTTGCAAGTTGCGAACATTAACTTACTTGATTTTCACATCTGGGTTACGGAAATGTTACACTGGAGAAAGCTGAGGCACTAAGATTAAGAACCACAGTGATGCAAAAACAAGATGTCTTTGGTGACCTATTCTGCACTCCAGGGGCTCCTGATCTACTGAGAAAATGAATAAGAACGTGGCTCTTGCCTGATTTCTGCCCTATTATTTCCTTCCGCTTCATTCCCTCATGTTTTCCACCCGCTAATAAAACATCTTCCCAGAGAATACACGATGCCTGCAAGGACTGGGCCACTCTAGCAAACTCGCCTACTGCGCCTGCGCGATCCAGCTGACATCCGGCTCCCACTAATCACGTGAGCCCGCACCCTTGCTGCGCGTGCCCAGTAGGAAGTCGGACTATACCATTTTGCCTTACCAAAGGGGTGTGTTTTCTATGTTTTTAAGTTTAAAACGATTCCTGATGTTACGCTTCTTACTATCTCGGGCATGTACACGCGATATAAGTAAGTTTAGGATGGCGGAAGGTGAAAGGACAAGAGGGGAACGCGGATGAAAGCGGAGCGGGGGGTGCCCTCTCCCCTTCGCAGATAATGGGAGGAGCCGGGCCGCGGTGAGTCTTTCCTTTCGCCGCTGCGGCTGCAGCCATGAGGTGAGCGCTCGCGGGGCTCCGGCCTGGGCCGATCCCGGCTGCCGGGGGGCGGCGGGGCTCGGTCCGGGGCCCCCGATGGGAGGGGGGAAGGGGAGGCAGCCTGACGCGGCGGGCCCCGGAGTTTGGGGGAGGCCGGAGCACCCTAGGCCCGGCCTGGAGGGGAGTAGGGTGGCGGGGCGTCCCGAGAAGTTTAGGCCGCGGAAGGCGGGGCGACCCACGCGGGCCGAGGGAAAGCAGCGGCGGTGACGAGGCCCGGGCCTCCGTGCTCGCGGGGCGCTCCTGGATCCCAGCCCGTCTCTGCCTCTGTGGTTAGGTCTCAGGCCTCGGGCTGCCCAGAGGGCCGAACGCTAACTCCTCCCGTAGACCGCTCATAGGAACACTCTAAGGCCAGCGGGATTGCCCTCCTGACTGTGATGAGGCGAAGGAAACAAAGCGCTAAACCAGCAAACCAGGTCTACTGGCCACGGATGCTTCACGCTAAATACTTGTTTTCAGAGCCATATCCCAGAGGAGAGAATGATACAGGAAAGATTGGGGGCTGATGGCGGGGCTGGCAAAAGTCTTAGTGGAGGGGGACGTGTTTGCCCCTAACACTGGTGTGTGCGTGCACATCCACTTCCCCGTGTTCTGTTTCACCACCTAAGAAGACAGGGGCAGGTGTGCTGGGGAATCTTGCCTTCTAGCAGAGGCTCCCAGGGCCTGACTGTGTCTGTTTTCGCAGTATGCTCAGGCTTCAGAAGAGGCTGGCCTCCAGCGTCCTCCGCTGTGGCAAAAAGAAGGTCTGGTTGGACCCCAATGAGACCAACGAAATCGCCAATGCCAACTCCCGTGAGTTCTTGGGTCTATGTTCCTTCTTCGCCCTACCCCTTACTCATTCTTCACGAGATGGAAGATGACACAGTTGTGTTGACTTTATAGTCTGCGGGGTCTTATAAAAGGAGGGATCACAGAATCAGGGAGATGCCAGAGTTTTTATTCCTGCCATTTGCCAAAAGGGCAGGATAGAAATTAATGGACAGACTGTTAGTAGAAAAAAAAAATTTTTTTTAATCAAAAAGTAAATAAAAGAGCTAGGATTTTGTCTTAGCTCTTCCTAGGAGGGAAAAAAACAAACGTAAGTTGATGGAACCGCCCAGTGTAATATTAATTACTGTTCCTAGAGTGGATACTCAGTCTTATAGCTCTGTGAAGGCATTCTGGGGTAGAAATGACTTAGGAAATAATGATGTGGGAAGACCTGGGGCCTCAGATGCAGGAGAACCTGTTGGCATATTTAAGGCAAATAGGTGTCAATCCTACAGAGAGCATCCATCATACCACAATACTTCCATGTAATATTACAGGAAAGAAACAAAATTATATGATAATTGTAAGGCAGGCTTCATTTGGGATCATTGTGATAGGTACAGGAACCACTGCAAGTGGGCTTTTACAGGCGGGGAGGGATATTGGGCTCAAATCCAAATACAGCGTGAGCAGGTAGAGTTTATAGCTAAGGGTCAGTGGATGGGAAGTTAACCAAGAGGAAGTGGGGGTAACGGGTTTTGGTTAAATGGACCTCGCAGGGTTCTTACTGAAGGTGGGCCAGGATGGTGAGGCATCACCTGGGCAATGGTGGTGGATATTTTGAGAATGCTACAAATTCCTAAAAGTGGGGGAGTTTTGAGATCACTGGGCTGGGGATGTACACCGTGTCTAGGGCCTGTCCTATTAAAACTCTGGGTTAAGACTTGTATTGAAGCGAGGCCCTATCTGACTGACCAGGTACATGATGTTTTTCCAGGGCAGCAGATTCGGAAACTGATCAAAGATGGGCTGATCATCCGGAAGCCTGTGACTGTCCACTCCCGGGCTCGATGCCGGAAAAACACCTTGGCCCGCAGGAAGGGCCGGCATATGGGCATCGGTTAGTGCATTCTTCCTCTAAGACTTAAGATGTTTTAAGTCTGGACTGAAATATATTTAGGATCTTTTTCTTCCCAGTCTGTCTAATCTTGAGCCCTTTTCTTACTGTGATAGTTGATGTGCTTTCTCTGTGCAAATCAGAAAGTTGGCACTGGTGTTGAAATTGAAAGTACAGTATTGGTAGAAAGAGGTCACATTTCTTGAGTACCTACCCTATGCCAAAGATTCTACTTGGTTCTTGAAGATGTCCAATAAATTCTAAAACCACTTTCAAAGGTCAGGAAAATTTGGGGAGATGAAGGTCACACCACCTTTAAAGCTTACCGCGCTGCCTGGGTGCTTGCCCATCATATCTGCATTCTGTGCAAAGCATGGGGGGAAGAACTGCCTTGTTTGTGCTTCCTTTAAAATTTAATAAGTGAAAGAAATAAAATACTTGGGGTCATCTGTAAAATGGGAACGTTACTTAAAATGATATAAAGCACTTGGCACATGACCTAGTTGATTGAGGGTTTTCACAAGTTGGTAGCTGTCATGACCAATCAGCTGGCTTGAATTAACTCCTTTGAGATCTAAGTGCAGAGATGGACCTAACGCATCTTCTCCGCAGGTAAGCGAAAGGGTACTGCCAATGCTCGAATGCCCGAGAAGGTAACCTGGATGAGGAGGATGAGAATTCTTCGCCGGCTACTCAGAAGATACCGGGAATCGAAGAAGATTGACCGCCACATGTAAGCACGTCTTCCTCTTGGGCCCGCTAAGACCTATTTGCTTTATTGAAGGCTTGTTCTTTGTGCAGACACGGTTCTATCCTTGGCCTTGGCGAGAGAGCTGTGTGTTGAGTAAGCTTAGGAAATTCTTCCGTTCTGTCCTGTTTTGTGTGTGTGTGTGTTTGTTTTTTTACTTGTTGATTTTAGAGGGGGCTGGAGAACAGACATCGATGTGTTCCACTTTCTTCCCATCCCACCCCCAAACATCAGGAAAGTATTGAACTGTCTGTCAGACAAGCTCTTCTGGCCAGAAAGCTTTTTGTTTTAGGGAAAGTTCATCAGCAGGAGAGGAAAGGAACCCTACACGCTGTAGGGACTCGGTGTGGAGGGGCCAACTCTGATCCCATCACTGGCTAGAACCTATGCTCGCTACATCCTGCAGGTACCACAGCCTGTACCTCAAGGTGAAGGGTAACGTGTTCAAAAACAAGCGGATTCTCATGGAACACATCCACAAGCTGAAGGCAGACAAGGCTCGCAAGAAGCTTCTGGCGTAAGTTTCTTCAGGAATTGGCCTCTGTCATGGGGCAGCTTCTCTGACTTTTGTTATAAAGTGTTCCTCTGAGACGTGGGGTAGGGACTGTAGGTTAGTTGAAGTGGGAGTTCTTGATAGCCAGGTGACTCGTTCCTCAAGCTAACTGTTCAGAGAGGGAGGTCTGGGCATGCGCTGCCATCTCCCAGCAGCCTATCTGTTCTCAAACTGACCCACCTTCTCTTCCATTGCTCAGTGACCAGGCCGAGGCCCGCAGGTCTAAGACCAAGGAAGCCCGCAAGCGCCGGGAAGAGCGGCTCCAGGCCAAGAAGGAGGAGATCATCAAGACTCTGTCCAAGGAGGAAGAGACCAAGAAATAGAGCTTGCCCTCCTACCTGTACATAGTGGCCTTGGCAGTTACGTGGTTCGGTCATTTAATAAAAGCAGCCTTCATCTACCTCTCTGCTTCTTCCAAAGTTACTGACTGCGGGCTTCACTTATTTATGTATTTATTTAGAGAGGGAGGGAGAAACATTGATTTGTTCCCCTTGTTTATGCCTTGAGTGGTTGATTCTTGTATATGCCCTCACTGGGGGCTTGAACCCAAAACCTTGGTATATCAGGACAATAACCAACTGAGCTAGCTGGCCAGGGTGGGTCTTCACTATTTAGAGGGCCGGAATGAGCACGCTGAGGACAGATACAGGCCCTTCCAGGGTCCCTGTTTCATTTCTTGACTTGTGACCTCTCCACCCATGATAGAGGGGATTTGTTCAGTGGGGTGCAGGGCCTGCTTTGCAGGGAGGGAAGGAATGGCTTCTACCCGAGCCTCCAAAATACTGTGCTTCAGTTTTTGTTTTTTGGGGGGGAGGGGCTCATACCCATCACATAGGGGATAAAGAAAGGGCTTTTCTCAGAAATTGGGAAAAGGCACATGCCACAAGTTTGTCAGCCATTGTGAGTTGCATAGTGACTTTGTAGCCCCTTTTACAAACAGGAAGTAAGTTTTATTTTACAACTATTACTGGGAGCAGTAACTGCCAGTTTTACAATAAAATGTCTGCTCTGAGAGCCCAGTACTTTGACATTCATTCTAGTCTTGGCAACATTATAAGGTAGGATTACAGACATTTGAATTCACACACAAAAAGCTAATGTAGTGTTGGGGTGGAAAAGTGGACTCAAGATGTTTGGAAGTGAAACGGCTTTGTGGATATAGAGGGGCTGAGGAAGTCAGGGTTGTCCCAAGGTCTTAATCTTTGGAGGACTCTGCAGTGATGAGAAGGAACCAGTTGTGGGGAGAAGGGCTAGAAGAGGGCGGTTTGAGGGACAGATGTCCAGGGGGTCAGTCAGCCATTAAATATAGGAATGCCAACTCAGATGAGGAAGATTAGGTTGGGAGCAAGGTTGCATAGAAGGGGCCGCCTCCTTTATATGGACACAGTGAGGACTGATATTCTAGATGTAGGTAGTTACCTCCCTGCCCTCCGCCCCTCTCCTGAGGAATTTTTGCTTCGGGAAGCAATACAAAGCCAATTGGCCTTCAGGGGATGTACTTGGCAGATGTTCTTATCTGCACTTGGGAAAGGCGGGGCTAAAGTGGTCATGGGGCCGAAGCCGGTTTGGCTCAGTGGTAGAGCATCGGTCTGTGGACTGAAAGGTCCCAGGTTCGATTCCGGTCAAGGGCATGTACATTGGTTGCGGGCACATCCCCAGTAGGGGGTGTGCAAGAGGCAGCTGGTCGATGTTTCTCATTGACGTTTCTAGCTCTCTATCTCTCTCCCTTCCTCTCTGTAAAAAATCAATAAAAGATATTTTAAAAAATAAAAAAGTGGTCATGGGGACAGCAGGCCCCTCTCCAGATCTGTCTTGACTGTCCTTGTCCAGTCTGGACCAGATGGGGGGAGTGGGTGGCCCAAGGCAGGGAAGCCCAGGTTCGATGAGAAATGTCTAGAAGACCTCACCAATTTGAGGGTTCCCTGATGCCACTGTGGCAGCCTGTATGCACTTAGTTTTTTAGCTCTTGCTACAATTCTTTGTCATCCTGAGTGGGGAAGCTGTGGCCTAGAAGGGGCAGGGCCTTGGACAAGCTCTCAGCTTGGAGTATGGGGCCCCTTCCCAGTCATGGACCAGAGGAGGAAGGCATGGGAGGCCACTCCACCTCCACTCCCCTCAGGCAGCTGAGGAGAGACCAGAAGGAGGGTACATGGCAGCCACACCTGGGCTCCTGCTTGCAGCACAGAAACCGGCTTCCACTCTGGACCAGGAGATGGCGCTGTTCTCTCACAGGTGGTGGCAGAAAACTGCCTCACAGTTTGGGTTGTGGGGAGGATTGGCCTGGAGCGAAGGGTCATGGGTTGTGGGAGCCTATCTCTTGGGAAGCTTTGGGTTTAGTTACTTCCTTTTTTCCTTTTTTATTGAATTTTTTTGGGGTGACACGTTGACAAAATTATATAGGTTTCAGGTGCACAATTCTACAACACATCATCTGTACAATGTAATTGTATGTTCACCACCCCAAGGCAAGTCTCTTTCCATCACCATTTACCCCCCCTGTACCATCCTCCACAACCCAACCCCTAGTTCCTTCCTTCTGAAGCTCCCCCCAGCCTGGAAAGTGACCTCTTTCCACCAGGGGCCTCTAACCCCCTCTCCGAGCTGTGCTTGGGAAGGCCCTTCAGCAAGCAGATCCCCTGAAGTTACCTGGATCTCTTAGGTATGGAAACTTATGAAAATATACGTCCATTCTCTCAAGCATATGCAGTTGATCCCCTTATACCATCTGCGTACCCTTTAAAGGGGTTCACTGGCCCCAGGTAAAAATTCCCTGAGCAAGTCCAGCTCCGTTTCAGGGGGGCCAGCGGCTCCCCAGAATCTCAGCGTTGCATGAACAGGAGCACCGGTCTTTGACTCCAGGCGTGGGAGGGTGTGACTCAGAGCGGGCGGAGGCGGCAGAGGTACTGCGCACAGTGGCGGCTGCAGAGCCACGAGCTGGAAAAGGGGTGTAGGGCCCTGGCCCTCTTCCCAGTGCTCTCTCTGAGGCTGAGAGGGGACCCCCAGGCCGGCTCCCTGCAAGCACTGGGAGGGCTGAGGCTGCCTGCCGTCTTCCTGGCACTCCTCAGCAGGTGTGCCAAGCACTGGGAGAGGCGGGTATGGGGAGGGAGGGGAGTGAAGAAGGCTCAAGGGACCAAAGGGAGTGGCTGGTGCTGGCAGAATGGGTGGCATTGGACAGAGGCTCCCTCTGGTATCCATCTCTCTACCCTCTCAGGCCTCTCCTGTCTTCGGCTCCTCCCAGCCTCCCCCTCTTTTTCGCATCTCTCCTAAGCCCAGATAACCTTTACCCGCACACAGTTAGACTTAGGCTGAGGTGGGAGGACAGAGGGCACGTGTGGGTCAGGCACCAGAGCCAAACGGTGGGTTGGCACCGCCAGCAGTTTCCTGGGCTTGCTCTGCCCCAGGCCTACGGTGCTGCTGGTCCAGCCACCCACTGAGTGGGCACAGAGGAAGGCAGAGGCTACGGCGAGGGCACCAGCTGTTCCCAGCCCTCAGGCTGTGAGCCTGCTGTCAGCGGCTCAGCCACCCGAAAAAGCTGTTGTGCTCAGCAGTGCGGCAAATGGGCTGGGGAGGAGGCCCGGGTCCAGGCCAGCTGCCGGCTGGTGGCAGATGGGAGTGGAGCGTGCAGGAGGGTTGGCTGAAAGGCTCTCATTGTCTCCGGTGGAGTGGGGTCTGGATCCCTGGGCCCCTGGCCCGGCTTCTGGGGGTGTCTCTGCTTCCATCTTGCTGGTTGAAGGCACCAAGAGATCCAGGGCCCCAGGGGAGAAGCGCTGACTGGCAAGAGATACGATTTCTCAGTGGCTTGACCACTATTTCGCTGGGTGACCTTGGGCATGTTACCAGTCCCTCTGGGCCTCAGTTTCCCCAGGTTCACAAAGGACCGGGGGAGCAGGATAATCCCTAGGACCTTGGGTAAGCCACTGGACACCTCAGGGCCTCCCCTTCCCCGTCTGTGAAAGGGGACGCCACCTCTTTCCTCATGGGGTCATTGAGAAGATTAAATAAAATTAAATAAAATTAAGATCCTGGCTTGGTTCCTGCAACACAGTCGGTGCCTATTGTGTGAGTTGCTTTCTAAGCCTTTGGACTGGATCTGTGACCCCTTTTTTCCTCTCCCACCATCAGGGGTCCTCCTCCCCCTTCATCCCAACCAGCCCTGCGGCCTTCCTTGGGGGAAGGGCCCAAAGACAGCTCAGGGCCCGGTCCCACCTGGCCCACCTTGCTTGGGGTGCGGGACAGGAAAACAGACCCGGGGTTGCCCACGGGGAGGAGCAGTCCTCCGCCCCCCGCCCTGCAGCACCCCGGACCCGGCACCCCCACAGCCCGCACCCCGCTGCTCCGGCCCCCCTCCGCCTATAAATAGCGGGACGCGCTCCGGTGACGCGCCGCCCGCGGGACAGGGAGGGGGGACGGGGAGGGGCCGCGCTTCTGCCGGAGCAGGTGGGCGGGGAGCTTCGTGCCCGGCGCCCGACTGAGTCATCCCGGCCCCGCCGGCTCGACTGTCCCGCCGCCAACGTGCTGCCTGGGACCCGGGAGGCTGCGGGGAGAGGCTGGTCTGGGGGTTGGGGCATTGCACCCCGCAGGCCCAGGTCCTGGGGGGCCCCGCTGGGTGGGCGGGGAGCGTCCGGACGCGGGGAGGTGTGTGCCCGCGCCCTGCGCGACCCCCCCGGTGCCGGCAACCAGCCAGTGGCCGCAGCCGCCCCCCCCCCCCGCCACTCCCCTCTAGCACCCCACAAACCTGGTCCCCCCCTTCGGTCCTTTCCACCTTCTTCTCCGCTTCGACTCCCCCCAGCCCCTGCTCTCCACACCTCCCAGACCCCGCGTCTCTGGCTGCTCCAGTGGAAGGGAGTGAAGAGGCTTGGGGACTCCTCCAGTGTCAGCCTCAACACCCCAATGCCAGCCTCAACACCCCATTGTCAGCCTCAACACCCCAATGCCAGCCTCAACATCCCAATGTCAGCCTCAACCCCCCTCCCAGAGATCAACACCCACCTTCAGGCCTCGCTCCTCTCAGCATGCCCCGCCCCGCCCCGCCCTCCCAAGCGGACACACACAGACACAGCCTGGGACCAGAAACGTTTATTGGGGTCTGGGGGCTGGGCGAGGCCCGGCAGACCGTCATGCAGCCGTATGTACAGAGGGCAAGGGCCGCCCCGGTGGTGCTGAGGGGCCTCATGGCAGCAAACAGGGCAGTGTGGCTTGAGCACCCCTCCCCGGGGGGCATGGGGTGAAGTGGGGCAGGGGCCAGTGCATAAGACAATGTGTCCCTCCCACCGCTCGGGAGGGCGTGACTGTGCCCAGGATGGGGGTGGCATCAGCTGGCACGATCAAGGACACCAGAGGAGGCTCTGAGCTGGGGGGAAGAGGGACACTGGCACCAGAGGAAAGCAACCAGCAAGGGAGTGTTTGTCTTTGTGGGTGCCCATCCCGCCCTCGGGGTGGCTTCCTGGTGGCCCAGCAACCACCCACCTTCCCAGCCACTCCCTCCCTCTTCCTCCCAGGGCGCTGGATTTGGGACAGGGGAGCAAATACAGCCAGCGAGGCACCCTCCCTGCAGTGCTCAGAGAGGGGTGAGGGGGGGCCGGGTGGGAGTCAGCCCTGAGGCTGGGGCCCCTGGCTGGTGGGTCCTGCTGCTGGGGGGCTGATAGAGTCCTGACAATGAAATGGGGGTGTTTGGACCAAGCGCAGGCCCGTGTTCAGTCGGGTTTCTGTGTTCAGGTTGCTCTTGGCTGTCCTTCCCCCCCCCCCCCCGTACCCCTCCCGTGAGCAAGGGCAGGGTGGGCTGCTCGGTGGTGACTGTGCTGCTGGAGGGGACAGTCTCGGCTGTGCCGCATCCTCCCAGCCCCCAGCCTCCCCTCCTCTGTCCGCCCAGAGTTCAAGTAGTGGGAGAGGTTCCTGCAGGACTTTCCTGAGAATTGATGGAGTGACCGAGGCAGAGAGACCGGGAGAGGGACTCCGACCCTCCCAGAGCCCCGAGCCCCCTCAGCGGACACAGAGCAGCAGTTGGGGGCTGAGGGCCGGGAAGGCACTCCTTCCGCCGGCAGCGTGGCCAGGCCGCACACATCAGGCCCAAGCAGGGCCCCGCGGCAGAGGGAGCGTGGGCCATGCAAAGCTGGCGTGGGCACAGGCTCTGCGGGAAGAAGCAGCAGGGAGGTCCCCCAAGAATGCCCCTCAGGGCTGGACTCAGCATGGCATCTGGACTGGGGGTGCCTGGGCACGGGGTGGTCCTGCCTGGAGCTCCCCCATCCCCCCCATTCTCTCCTCCCCCACCCCAAGTCCCAGAGGAGCACATCTTTCTGACACGCTGGGACCAAGAAATGGAACCTTCCTCAGTGCAGAAGCCTCCCAAGCCGTGGCGATGGCTGCTGGGGGAGAGGCGGATGGAGGGAGCGCGTGGGCAGATGCCCGCTCCCCTCCCGGGACCAGAAGCGAGGGCCAGGCACAGGCAGGGGTGGCATCTGGGTTCTCCTGGCTCCGCTCAGATCTCGGTCAGGGCGTCGGCTGGCACCAGGCCCCGCTTCTTGCCGCTGCTGACGCGGATGAAGCCGTCAGCATCCTTGCTCCTGCCCACGCCCACGCAGATCTGAGCCAGAGAGACACGGCGCTGAGGCCTGGCCCTGCCTGCAGCCCCGGCCCCGAGTCCTGCTGATGGCTCCCAGGGGGCCCCGCTCCGGGGAATGAGGAAACTGGCATCAGATGTGGCTGCAGACCTCAGCCGGGGTGCTGGGTGCAGATCCCATGAGGGCACAGGGTGCAGCAGCAAGATCAGGACGTCAGCAGACACAGAGCCGCACTCTGGGGCTGACGGTGACACCAGCCCCTCTCCCACATCTCAGCGGGACAAGAACTTGGCTGAGGTCACGCCACAAGCCGGAGGCAGGGCCACCATTCGAACCCGAGCCTCTGGACTCCCAATCCAGTGCTCCTCTCCTCCCCAAAGCTGCCTCCCAGGTAACGCAGCCCCCTGCCTGTGGCCACCAATCCCAAGCCCCCCTCCAGAAGAGGACAGAGGCCGCAGCCCCGCCTCCTGCAGCCGGCAGGGCCCGGCACTCACCTGGTTCTCCTTGAGGCTCAGGTAGCCCTGCTCCTTGTTCCCGGAGAAGGGCTGGCAGCAGCGCCAAACATTCTCGCCCGGCCTCACCCGCTGCACAAAGTTGGCCGGGAAGAAGCCAACCCGGTCGCCAATCTTGCCCTGGGGACGAGGCTGGCGTGAGCACCAGTGCCCCTGACCCCTCACTGCTTTGTCCAGACCCAGGGACCACTCAGAGCCAATGCCAGGTGCTGGGTTCTCTGCATTCAGCCCCCAGTCGGGAAGGGCGTCAGGTGGGCAGAGAGAGAGCTGAGGCGGCTGGGGGCGGAAGGAGGTCAAAGCAAGAGCAAGGCCTGAGGGCTGGTCCCAGGCTTGGCTAGAGCAAGTGGCTGGAGGAGGAGTGGTCTTTGGGGCCTGGAGAGAAGGGGGTTAGTGCCCATCGGGGGCAGAGGTTGGTGAGATGCCTACCAGGGTCCCTCCGCCTCCCACCCTGCCAACTCACCTTCCACCAGTCCTCGTTAGAGTCATCCACCAGCATGATCCGGTCTCCGGGCCTGGGGGGAGAGAGCGGGGCAGCATGGGGGGCGGGGTGGGCTGGCCCTCTCTGCACCCCCACCCTCCTGGGCCACAGCCCCCCCATGTGGCCCCTCAGCGGAAGGCGGATTCCCGATGCTCTCATCAGAGGACACTGTGTGACCTCAGGGACAGCGGACAGGGCCGGGGCAGGGGCGGGAGCCATGCCATCAGCGCCCATTCCCTCTCGGACCCGGGGCAGCTCTGCTCCTCTCTGGGCTCAGCAGCCTCCAGGATGAGGGAGAAGGTTCCCGAAGGGCCCCTCACACTCGGTTCCCAAGGAGCACAGAGCCTGCGGTGGGGCAGGGGGCCGCCAGGCGGCCGGGCACAGGGAGGACTCACTGCAGCGCCAGGTCGTTGTTCTCCTGGGGCAGGAACTTGTAGAGCGCCACGTAGGAGTACATGGGCCCCACGTCCTTCCGCGGCGGCTGCTTGGGGGGCTGTGGAGAGCTCTGGGTCAGGGATGGGGGGCCACACCCTCTTCACTCCGCCCGCTGGCCTTGACCTTGCTACCTGGGGGCTGGGAGGTGGGACACGGGGCTCCTGGGTCAAGGACACGGAGAGGCCAGGCTCTCCCAGCTGCTGTGCGCACACACACACACACACACACACACACACACACACACCCCTGCGGGGACTGGGCCGGGATGGAGAAGAGGATCCTCTGCTGCCTTCTGCACCCTGAAACGGCCCGCCCTTGTGGGAACAGGAGTGGGAGCAATAGGCATTGGGCCAGTGGTGGGAGGGTGACGCCCCTGCCTGCTGTGGCCACTCCCCCTAGCATCGCCCACCCTGTAGACAGGCGGCGGGCTGAGAATAAACGATGGAGCAGTGACACTTCCTCTCCCCTGTCCCCCCCCCCCCCCTGTGGGCCAGTGACACCTGGCCTCCTGGGGCTGGCGCCAGCACCCCTCACCTGCTGCCCCGGGCTCTTCTCCTCCGGTCCTGAGCCTTCGCTCTCTGCGGGGGCTGTGAACACTGCAGATGCCAGGGGCGGGGGAGGGGGGAGAGGGCGGAGGGGGGAGGGGAGACAGGGTGTGAGGCAGCAGGAAGCCACCGCACTGGCACTGTGACCCCTTCCTGCCCTGGTCCTTGACCTCCACTCACCATTGTCGCCAGGGCCCTCCTCAGAGCTTCGGATGCTGCTCTCCCCATCCTCAGTCAGCTCCTCCCGCTCGCTCTGGGGACAGACGGAGGGAAGGGTTCAGGCCCTGGACCCTCATCCGCAGAGACCCCTGCCCCGAGGCTCCCCTCTGGTGCCCACCATACCAGGCTCCGTGTGGGGGACTCAGAGGCGCTGCTGAAGCTGGAGCGGTTCATCAGTGCCAAGGAGGTGCCATAGCGTAGGGTCTCGTAGACCGGGTCCACCTTCCCGCTGGCGCCTGCCAGGGATCCACGCTCAAGGCCGGGCACCCCGCTGCCAGCCTCGCTCAGCCCCTGAGCCCCGGTCTCAGCCCCGGCTGCCCCACCGCTCAGCATCCTGGAGGCTAAACTCTGGTGTCCCCTCATCTGCCCTTCCCTCTCCCCCCATCACAGGGAGAGCCAGGTCCTCCCACCGAGCCCACGAGCCCACACAGAAACTGCGGCATCTTTGACCCCTCCCTCTCCTCACTGCCCACATCACTCCGTCATTTAGTCCTACCTTCGGAATGTTCTAGAACCTGCCCACTTCCCTCCCTCTTCACCGCTACCAGTCTGCCCCAAGCTCCAAACTCTCTCTTGGCAACCATCACAACCTTTCGACTACTTTCTCTGCTTCCACTGTGCCCCTCCAGTCCACACAGCAGCCAGAATGCCCTTGTGAAAACACAACAATTGTCCTTAGAATAAAGTCCAGAGAACAATCACAAATGGAGCCCCAGGCCCTGGGCCCATGGTCCTGTCACACCCTCTCACTCTCACTCCCTGAGTCCCAGCCATATTGTCTTTTCTTTTTCTTTTTTTTTTTTTTTTTTTTAATATATTTTATTGATTTTCCACAGAGAGGAAGGGAGAAGGACAGAGAGCTAGAAACATCAATGAGAAAGAAACATCGACCAGCTGCCTCCTGCACACCCCCTTCTGGAGATGTGCCCTCAACCAATGTACATGCCCTTGACCGGAATCGAACCTGGGACCCTTCAGTCCACAGACATACGCTCTATCCACTGAGCCAAACCGGTTTCGGCTGTCTTTTCTTTAACTCCCCTCAGGCCACACCCTCTGCCCACACTCCCTTCCCCAGAGCCTCAGGGGACTAACTCCCCACCCTCCACTCTTCCCGGGTGCCTCTCCCAGGCTCCCAGGTTGGGGACGGTGGCTGCCTTCTCCTCTCTTTATTTCCTATCCTCGTTTCATGCGTCCATCTGGTGTGATTATGTATTTCACGTCCAGCTTCCTCACCGACCACGAACTTCATCTTCCCTGTGGCTGGCACAATGTCTAGCCCTTAGCAGGTGCTCAGTAAAGTTTTGTTGAAGGAGGAGTGGGTGAAGGAGCCCTACCTTCAGAAGGGAGCACCCCCAGAAGGGAAGTGGTGGCGGTGTGACCCAGGCGGCCCCCGGAGGAAGGCGCGGGCCCACAGTGGGCTCGGGAGCAGCAGGGGGTACTCACCGGTGGGGGGAGACTCTCTGCTGGCGGCACAGGCTGGCGGCGGCTCATGCACCAGGAGCGGGGAGCTAAAGTTGCGACGGAAGGAGGAAGACTAGGGCAAGAGGGGGCGGAGAGAGGGCGTGAGGGCGCCGTAGCCCGTGGAGTAGCTGATCTTCCTCAAGGCCACATGGGGAACCAGCCTGGAGGGGGACTCCTTCCCCCCGGGGGCTCTCCGCCAGCCACCTCCACTCATTGTCTTTTATTTTATTTTATATTTTATTGATTTTTTTTTAACAGAAAGGAAGGGAGAGGGATAGAGAGTCAGAAACATCGATGAGAGAGAAACATCGATCAGCCACCTCCTGCACATCCCCCACTGGGGATGTGCCCGCAACCAAGGTACATGCCTTGACCGGAATCGAACCCGGGACCCTTCAGTCCGCAGGCTGATGCTCTATCCACTGAGCCACCCACTCACCGACTTGACCGGGCATTGCTGGTGGGAGATCTCCTCGGAGCACCAGAGGTGGACACTGACTTTGCACGTCTTACAGCGCAAGCCCTGCTTGGAGTTTCCTGGGGAGAGTTGGGTTCAGAAAAAGAGGTTGATTGAGAGAGGACACCCCCATGGGCAATGGAGCAAAGGAGGCAGATGAGGGAGGAGGGGGACGGGAGGGGACCAGTCTCCGGGACCAGCATCTACCCCTCATCCAGTCAGGGTGGGAACTTGCACTGAAGCCCGAGTTGTTAGTAAACACAGCAAGACCTTGACCCCCACCCCAACAGTGCTCATCTGTCTGCCCGGGGTGAGGGGCACAGCGAGAACTGGGAGCCATGACTCTCAGGCCAATCCCCGTGCCCACCCTGGCCCCTCCCCTCGCCCGCCTCAGGCACCTACCCACAATGAACTGGTGGCACAGCTCGCAGGGGTTGGCTCGCTTGAAGACGTGTTCCTGGAAGCTGTGCAGCCTCACGGGTTTGAGAGATGCCAGGGGCCGTGGGGCCGGGCAGGGGGAGGGGGCCGGGGTGGGCAGGCCCCTCTGGGTGGATGCCTGGGGCGGGGAGGAGGGGGGCAGCGGGGTGGGCGGGGTCAGCAGCACCTCCGTGGGGCACTTGAGCTCGGAGCCGGAGCCGGTGCCGGAGCCGGAGCGGAGGAAGAAGTTCTCCACGCTCTTACTGCGGAGGATGGTCCTGAGGGACAGCGAGCGCTTGAACCGCTGGAGCTGAGGGAGGAAGGGGGCTGTGAGCGGAAGCCCAGGAGGCTGCCCCCCCCCAGGACAGCTGTGTTGGGGCCAGAGGTGAGATGAAGTTCCAGAACCCCAGAGGCCTCCGGCGACCTCGGTGAGCAGAGGAGTCCGGCTGGGCAGGCGCACAAGGAGGGGTGGTGGGGACCGTGGCCAACTGAACAGCCAGGGAGGCCACCCAGGAGGGTCAGGCTTTCCGATTTTCAAAAGAAACCTAGACTTCTATGGGAAATCGAACGGAAACACATTTAAAAGGGTTCATTTCCCCCCCCCCCCTTTGCAGAAATGGTAGTATACTGTTTTTCCTGTACCTTGCTTTTTCCACGTCACAGTAAATCTTGGAAGTCATTCCATTCCAGTACTTACAGAGATCCATCATTCTTCTTTATGGCTCCACAGGGCTTCGTGGTATGGGCACACGGTTTACTCGAGTTAACAAATGCTTTGGGGGTCAAACACAACACACCAGGTCCAGGTGTCCACCTGTTCTTTTATTATTATTATTAATAATATTGATTTTTCACAGGGAGGAAGAGAGAGGGATAGAGAGCTAGAAACATTGATGAGAGAGAAACATGGAACAGCTGCCTCCTGCACACCCCTACCAGGGATCTGCCCGCAACCAACGTACATGCCCATGACCGGAATTGAACCCGGGACCTGTCAGTACACAGACCGACGCTCTATCCACTGAGCCAAACCGGTTTCGGCTGTCCACCTGTCCTTGACAGGGTGGAAGTGGTCATCCTGAACCCTCGTCCTCAAGGCTGCTTTCCCTCTAAAACTCCTCTCCAGCCTGTCCCCTACGATCGCCTCATCCCTCGCACAGCCCTGCCCTAATTCAGGCCACAGCACCCCAGGCTGATTGAGGCTGATTGAGGGCACAACCTTTTGCCTCCACCTGCTTTATATATATGTTTTTTATTGATTTGAGAGAGAGGAAGGAAGAGGGAGAGATAGAAACATCAATGGTGAGAGAGAATCATTGTCGGCTGCCTCCTGCAGGTCCCTTAATAGGGATTGAGCCCACAACCTGGGCATGTGCCCTAACTGGGAATCAACCATGACCTCCTGGTTCATGGGTCTGCTCTCAACCACCAAGCCACACCAGCCGGGCTGCCTCCATCTGCTTTCCATACAGGGAGGACCTTGCTAAAAACTTTTCATGGCCCTAGCCAGTTTGGCTCAGTGAATAGAGTTTGGCCTGTGAACTGAAGGGTCCGCAGGTTTGATTCCGGCCAAGGGTTATGGGCTCAAACCCTAGCAGGGGATGTGCAGGAGGCAGCCAATCAATGATTCTCATCATTGATGTCTCTATCTCTCTCTCTCCCTCTCCCTTCCTCTCTGAAATCAATAATATATATAATATATATTACAGAGAGAAAGGGAGAGGGATAGAGAGTCAGAAACATTGATGAGAGAGAAACATCCATTCACTGCCTCCTGCACACCCCTACTGGGGATGTGCCCGCAACCAAGGTACATGCTCTTGACCAGGAATTGAAACCGGGACCTTTCGGTCTGCAGGCCGGTGCTCTATCCACTGAGCCACACCGATTTCGGCAATAATAATATATTTTTAAAAACCAAAAACAAAACTTTTCACGGCTCCTCAGGACCCAGCAGAAGCCCTCACTTCAGACGTGAGACTCTGTAACTTGGGCAAACCTGCCTTTCCAGCCCAGGCCTTCCGCCCGCCACCCAGGCCTGAGGACTCATCCTGCTCTGTGCCCCTGAGCTATGGGCTTATTTGTCCTCTTCTCGCCTCATCCAGTTAATACCCTCTTTATCCTTCAGGATTTCCCGTGACTTCCTCTTCCGGGAAGCTGTCTCTCCTGCAGGAATTCCATTTAGTGGAACCACCCCCTCCTCTGGGGCCAGCCGCCCTGACTCTGACTTCCATTACAGCTCCAATCAGGTTATGTTGTTATTCACTTCTCCTTCTCCCCAGAGCCCGGGAGCCAGCCCAGGGCAGGGGCCGAGGCTGCACATCTCAGCACAGAGCCTGCGCACACAGTGGATGCCCGGTCAGTGTTTGCTGAATAAATGAGCAAGTGGCTGGAATCCCAAATGGAGCCCGTCTGGAGTGCAGAGCGGATCCTGCAGGGAGGATCTGGTCCTCACGCACCATTCCCGAGCCTGCCCAGAGCGAGACCTGGAATCACCTCCACCCACATCCTTGCCCCACTCCCCTCCTGTGGAGAGTGTCCACCCCCCCCCCTACTCCTTCCCACAGCAATAGAAAAAGGGGGAGGGGGGCTCCCAGAAGCCTGGCTCCAGACAGGAACACTTGGCCAGGGTTCCCGGCTGGCACACCATGCAGCCTGTGTGCCATGGCAGCCAGCCTGGCGGCGGTGCCAAGAGGATGGAAATGGTGGCCCCTCCAGGCCTGGGGCGGTCAGCCGGCAGCGAGACGGATGAGGGGAGCGGAGAGGGAGATGTTTGGGCACAAGGGAGGCCTCATGTGCCACTGCCAGCTGTGAAGCCAGAGCCCAGGGGTGCCTGGCACCCTGAGCTGCCCAGCGCCTTCCGAACGCAGCTTTCCGGACCGCGCTGCGGGCTCTTTGTGTGCCTGTGAGAACGGGGCCCGGCCCGGCATGCCTGCGCGCTGAGCCAGAGGTGGAAGCCGGAGGGCCAACGGATCCGGACACGAATGTGATCTACGGGCTAACGGTGGCTCCGGGGGCTTTCACAGACAGAACACACAGGCCTCCGGGCGTCCGTGCTGGGAGTGGGGGCCGAACCAAACCTGCTGTCTGAAAGCGCATCACTTCCCTGCCTCTCTCCGTGACTCAGTTTCCCCACATCCAAGAGGAAAGAGGTAGGACTGCGTGCTCTCTAAGCAATGCAAGGCTCTGGGTCCAAAAAGCAAAAAAACATAAACGGATCGCTATAAGGGGCTGTCATTGTCAGTGAGCTGGGAGGGAGTTCGCACTTTTTCTGCAACATCTCATCCATCCTGGCTCTGCCCTCTGAGGTGGTGACCGTGATCCTACCCCCCTTTCACGGGAGGAACTGAGTATCACTGGCCTGTAGGCACCCCTGGCCATGGAGAGCAGCCCCTGCCCGGCCCCCCAGAGCCACCAGCCACACAATGTTCCCCAGCTCCGACTGTGCTGGTCACCCTGTGGCAGGAAGCACACCCACTCTTGGGACGGGCACCCCACCTTCGGGCAGCTGCACTCACTGGACGGCGCTTCCCCAAAGAGACCTGAAACCCGCCTCCTGCCACTTCTGCCTGCGGGCCCTGCTCCTCCCGTGGCTCCAGGGAGGGCTGCTCCCTCTCACACACGTCAGGCCTTCAAATATCAATAGTTTAAGACGGCAATCACGTCCCCTTCCCCAGGCCATTATTTTCATAGCAACCTCCCAGCATCACTACCATCCTCCCCATTCTCCCCTCCAGCGGCCCCCTGGCCTCGGAGCCACCAGCCACACAGTGTTCCCCAGCTCCAGGGCAACCCCGACTCTGTCGGAAACTCACTGGCTGAGTGTGGGCACCGGGTACCACCTGGGGAGGCTGGCAGATGCCAAGGGCTGTGGTTGGAGGCAGGAAGCAAACGGCTCGATGCCTGCTCCCTCCAGAGACACTGGCTCGGCTGCACAGTGTCATTTTGGTCCAGCCTGGCCAAGGGTTCCCATCCCGGGGCTCCTTGTTCCTGGAGAAGATCTCTCCCCACCTCCCCGCCAGCTATGTTTTGGGCGCCCGCACATCCTGGGACCCATTCCCTGGCACAGGGAGGGGTTGCCGTGTACCCTGGTGAGCTGGACCCTCTTCCCTTGGATCCTGTTCCATCCCAAGGCACCTGGAGCTTGTCTGGCTTGGGGCCTGAACCACCAGCCCTGTTCTTCTGAATTCCTCCCCACTTCCCCGAATCCTAGGCCAGGAGTGGGAATGCCAGGTCCACGGGCCATATAAGGCCTGCAAAACCACCTGGCCTGGCCCTGCCAAGGCATTCGGGGTGAGTTAATTGAATGTCTGACCAAATAGAGCAAGCTCATTTCTAAGTTGGCAATTGTGTATGGCCCACGCATGATGTTATAAACACCCGAATGGCCCCTGGCAGAAGAAAGGGTCCCCACCCCTGCCCTCTCCATTCCCTGCTGTACCTCACACCCCCTGCCAGCTCCTGAAAGGGCACGAAGCAGCTGGCGGTGGGTGTTGGTGGACTTGGCACAAGCTGACTCAGATGGCAGAGCTGGCATGGCAGGGTCTTCCCAGAGATGGCACCAAAGGGGGCGATCGCGGGCCCTGTGTGGTAGCATGGGATGGGGACCCAGAAGAGGAGGTGCTGACACGAGGAAGGTGGCTCAGTAGCTTGGGTGCCAGGGTGAGACCCAACCGCAGGGAGGGCAGAAGGATGGATTTGGCAATAAATGCCCAGGGGCCCCACTGATGGACAAGCCTGGGATGTTGGCTTCCCTGCCTGGTGGGTCCCGGCCCCCTCTGGTGTACCTGCCTCCAACTGAGCTGGGTGGGCAGCAGCCAGCCCTCTTCCTTTCTTCTCCCCCCGCACTGCCACGGCCTGGAGATAGAAGTTTCCTTGAGACAGGTTGGGGGAGGAGAACGAAAGGAGGCTGGCAAGGGTCCTGAATTATTCTCTCTCTGCCCACCTCTGCCCTCCTGACCCCCAGCCCAGCTTGTTATTACTGAGTTATGGCCGAGTCCTTCCCAAGGGTGTGGCACAGGGGAAGGGCACAAAGGCACAGAGCGGCCAGGCCAGGTGTGCACTCCTCCCTGCTCCTGGGATAGCCCAGGCTCAGACCCAGCAGTGACTGGCATTGGAGGGTCCTTGGGCTGGGAGGGGGGCAGAGTGACTGGCATTGGAGGGTCCTTGGGCTGGGAGGGGGGCAGAGTGACTGGCATTGGAGGGTCCTTGGGCTGGGAGGGGGGCAGAGTGACTGGCATTGGAGGGTCCTTGGGCTGGGAGGGGGGCAGAGTGACTGGCATTGGAGGGTCCTCGAGCTGGGAGGGGGGCAGAGTGACTGGCATTGGAGGGTCCTTGGGCTGGGAGGGGGGCAGAGTGACTGGCATTGGAGGGTCCTTGAGCTGGGAGGGGGGCAGTGCAAACCTGCCCGGCACAGGCCTCCCCCTCCTCACACAACTGTGCTCGAGCCTGCTGGCTGCTGAGGCAGCACTGCCCAGGCCTCCTGCCTGCGCTCACTCCCGCATGCTTGTGGGGAGCTAAGGACAGGGCAGAGCGGCCAGGCCTCGGTGTGGGGAGCAGGCCCCCTAGTCCCTGGGGAGCAGGGAGGGGGCTGGCATATGTCTGTCCAGGGTGACTAAAGGCCACTGAGAAGGCCAGGGGCCTTGGGCCTCGGGCTGGGGCTCAGCTCCTGGGACCCTCTGCCGGAAAGCAGCAGTCACAGGTATTCCAAGCACAGCCTCCTGCCCCACACCTCTCTCCTTTCCCAGGATTCACGTGGCTTTCTGAGGGGGGGGTTAACTCTGTGGTCTGAGAGCCGGGGTCTCATTCTCAGAAAGGCCAGGAGAAGGTCAAATGTATATCTGATAAAATAAAAAAAAAAAAAAAACAGCCCTGACTGGTTTGGCTCAATGGATAGAGTGTCAGCCTGCAGCCTGAAAAGTCCCAAGTTCGATTCCAGTCAAGGGCATGTACCTTGGTTGCGGGCACATCCCCAGTAGGGAATATGCAGGAGGCAGCTGATTGGTGTTTCTCTCTCATTGATGTTTCTGACTCTCTATCCCTCTCTGTAAAAAGTTAATAAAATATATATTTTAAAAAAATTTTTAAAGTGTATATCTGAAGACTTGGACAGGAAGACCCACTGGGTCCCTCTGGTTCAGGGACGGGGAGCTTCCTGGGTGCCTCAGCCAGACTCCACTGTGGCTTTACTCACCTCGCCCTGGTCACCCCCTTGATGACCTTGACCTTGAATTAACCTTATATCCTGGGGTGGGGGGAGGGGGCCAAGACAGAATGAGGAGGAAGAGGGCATTGGAGAGAACTCCAGATGAACTAGATACTACCAGGGGGAGCCAAAGACCCATCTATTCTGGTCCTCACTGCCTTCCTCTGTGTAACAGGAGCAGGGCGGGAACAAAATACCCGGCGAGGGAAAGGAGGTCTTGGCCTGATGTCTGAGATGGGGCAGAGCTTCTCCCCATCCCCATCCCCATCCCCATCCCCATCCCCATCCCCATCCCCATCCCCAGGCCGGCTGAAGCTGCTTCCCGCAGAACTTGCAGGTGAGTTGAGAGCACCTAGAACTTTGGGAAGGGGGCGACAGATTAGAAGAGGGACGGGGTAGGGGGTAGGGGGAGGGGGAGGGAGGGGAAGGGGTGCGTTGAATGTGAGCGACGCCCTCACCTACTCCAGCGCCCGGAGTCTGGGCTCCGCCTGACTTCCCAGGGGAATAACGCATTCTCGGTGACTCCCGCAGGAGCAGCGATCATACATAATCACGGTTAATTATGATATTCATTAATTACGATGACTTCTCTCTCTCTCTCTCTCTCTCTCTCTCTCTCTCTCTCTCTCTCTCTCTCTCTCTCTCTCTCTCTCTCTCTCTCTCTCTCTCTCTCTATTTCTCTCTCTCTCTTCTTGTTACCCGTTACCCGCCCTATCCCACCCCAGCCTCGTCCAGATCCCCGGGTGCGGGGAGAGCAGAGCCGCAGCCACAGCCCGGGTCCCCGCGCCGGCCCCGCTGCCGCAGCCCCCGCCTGGCCTCGGACGCTGCGCACCCCCGGCCGCGGCCTCGCGGCCCCGGACTAACCGGGCGGGAGGGGGGCTGCGGGGCTGCGGCGGGTCGGGAGACTCGGCGGTAAACACGTAGGGCAGCCCCGAGAACGCGGGAGAGAGAGACGCGCCCGGAGAGACAGGTCAGAGACAGCGGGCTGTGGAGACGTGTCCAGAGACGCGGGCGGAGAGCGGGGCCGGCTGCGCGGCACCCCGAGACCCCGCGGCCCCGCGGGGATGCGCCCCGCACGCAGCACCCGGCGCGGCCACTCACGGCCACACGCTCCCCCGCCCGCCCGGCTCCCTCCAGCCGCGCCGGCCCGGCCCCGGCGGCCCCGGAGGGTCCGGTGCGTCCGCTCATCACGCGCGCGAACCCACTCCCCCGCGCGGAGCCTCAGGAATCACACCTGCCCCGATACTGTGACCCCGGGGCAGCCGGACCCGGAGGGACCACCTAGGCCGGAGCCCCGAATCCGGCGTCCGGCCCCCGGGGGCGCCCGGCCAGGGGGGTCCAGGCCCCGCGCCCCCCAGTTACCTTGGTCTCTGGGAGGACGGACCCGGTCCCCGGGGCGGCGTGGGCGGCCGCGTCATCCGGCTCGCTCTCCTTCTCGCTCATCTCGGTCATGGTCGGGGGCGAAGGGCCGCGAGGACGCCGACACCCGACGGTCCTCCCGCCGCGGGGCAGGCTGCGGGGGGGCGCGGGCGTCTCTCCGGGACCCTGACGCCCTTCTCCGGAGACCGCCTCCCGAGGAGCCCCGGGAGACACCCGCCCAGACACGGCCACCCCTCACTCCCGGGCGCGGGCGGGGAGAAAGTTCCCGGGGCGGCCGGGCAGGGGTGGCGATTGCGCGGGGCGGCGGGAGCGGGACGACCCCGGGAGTGAGGACCGTAAGGACCGAGGGTCCGCGGAGGATGCTGCCGGGAGTCAGGGGAGGAGGGACGCGGGGACGCGGGGATGAGCAGCGGGAGGGAGCCGCGGAGCGGTCCTGGTCCGGCCACCTCCGCCGCCCTCTGAGCCCGCCCCCCATCTCCCCCCCGCCCCCCGCGGGCCCCGGCCCGCACCCCGGGGCCCCCGCCGCCCAGTCCTCGCCTCCCAACTTTGATTTAGGAGGTCGCGTGGTTCCGCCCCCTGCCCGCCGCCGCGCCCCCGCGCCGCTATGCAAATCAGCTCCTCCGCTATTGGCTACCGCGGCGGCGGCGAGGGCGGCGCCTGGGAGGGCTCGACAAGAAGGGGCGGGGCCTGGGAGGGAGAGCCGTGGAGGGGTCCGTGTTACATTGAAAAAACCTGGGATGGGTGGGTGGCGTGACAAGGTTGAGGGATGGCTCCAGAGGTCACAGTAGAGTCTGAAGAAGGTGGGGGGGCGGGGGGGGGGGGGAATAGAAATAGGTTACATCTGCAGGAGGAGAGCCGAGAGCGGAATGCAAATGAGGATTCCCCTGATAGAGGTGAAGGAAGAATGGGGGGAGATTCTACCCCATTCAGCACCTGGCTGTCTCTCTGCCCTGAAGAGACGCTCCCCCCACACACGTACCCTGGGCTGCGAGGCAGTAATTTCCTCAAGCAGAGAAGGGACGACTTAACATCATGTGTCAAAGGTCAGGCCTGACAAACTGCTTTTTTTTTTTGTGGATGAAAAGCTGGACATGGTGTCAGTTTCCAGTCTTGTCTGGACTTCAGCAGAAAAGAGAGACGGTGGCCTCCGTCCCAGCACCTGAGGCTCTCTAACCTTCTCCAGGACATGCCCCCTCCCACAGAGCCTGCCACAGGTGGAGTTAGCAGGTTCTTGCCCTCCAAGGTGTCTTCTGCCCACTTGTCTGAAGGTATGGCTTCTACTGCGTGTGTGCGTGTGTGTGTGTGGTGTGTGTGTGTGTGTGTGTGTGTGTGTGTACCTTCTATTTCTCCAAGTCCTCCTCCTTCCTCTCCTCCCTCCCCTCCCATCCTGACCAAAAGGTCTAGCTTCATCTCTTGGCCTTTCCACGGAAAGAGGTAAGTTGGGAGTTGAGAGACTTCTAGGTCTAAGTCTCCTTCCTCATCTGCTGTGGGTGATAAGATGAGGGCGGGGGGACCTCGAGAAGGTCCTGCCTGTATGGCAGCCCTGGAGGAGGGCTGGACCCCGTGTCTGCCCGTGCACAGAGCCATCCAGCGATCTGCCCTCCCAAGGAGGAGCTCACCATCGGAGGACCGCTCAGGTTTCTGTGGCCAAGAATAGAGATTTACTTGCAGGGACAGAAGTAGGACAAGGGCAGACGTGAGGGTTCGTGATTGTGGGGGCTCAGTCCCCTCCCCTCCAGATGTGCCCGCTGCAGCCACAGCCCCGAGAGCTAGCTTTCCCGGAAGGAGCTGCACTAGGACCTGGCCCTCTCATGACCAGCCACCTCCCAGGCTCCTCGGGGAGGGCTGCCCTCCTCCCTCTTGCCCAGCTCAGGGCACCCCAAAATCCCCTCCCTGGCCAACTGAGACGTAGAAATGCTGGGAGCACCCTGAGACAGAGTTGTCAGCCTCCTCCCCCCACCCGATCTGGATGTGAGCAAACCAGGCCTTCTGCATTTAGAGGCCTCCTGGGGAGGTGCCCGTTTCTCCCACCTAGCAGGAACTCTGGGTTCCTTAGAACCCAGGGCCTGAATAGTCACTGATTTCCTGTGACCTTGGGTGAGGAGCTAAACCCTTTAGAGCCTCAATCTCTTCATCAGCAAATGGCCCAGAGCAGTGCTAGGAGAACGAGTGCGTTAGCCCAGGAAGACAAGCAGGGACCGTTCATTTCCTCCTTTGCCTCCTTTCTTTTGGGACATTTGTTCCTTCGCAGGGCTCTTCCCGAGGCAGAGAGGCGACACAGCGTCGTTCCCCTCGCTTTCCTGAGTCACTGGGAGCCTGTTGTTTCGTGGGGGACTCAACCCAGGAAGGGATTCTGATGAGACAAGAGGGAGAATTCCCAGGGGCGTCCGTGGCACCAGGGACCAAGGTGAGCAGGACAGTTGGTGGGCCCTGGACCCATCTGGCCTGGGCACCAGAAGCCTGAGGTGGGGCAAACGTGGAGGAGGCCAGGGGCTGGGTGCCATGCCCTCTGGCTGTCCTCTCTGGAGTGCCTCAGAGAAGCGTTCGCACACTACGTCTGAGTCATTGTCTCAGCGCCAACAACTCCCGCTGCAGTGGCTCAGGGCCGGGGCCGGAGCACCGGACTGGCTGCTCCTGCAAGAGGAACCTTGTCCCATCCCAGAGGCAGTGGCTGAAATAACCAGGGCCAAGGTGCCACGAGAGGTCACATGGCAGTCACACTCTCAAAAGAACCCCCTGGACCAGAGGCCAAAATACAGCTGCCGGAGTGCCTCTCGGCAGGAGAGCAGCCAGAATGAGAGTGGGCACTGGGTTCTCAGGAGCCCAGGGACTAAGGGCTGGCCAGCGGCTTAAATCTGCCCGCGGCACAGTGTCCAGCACACTCAGGGTCTGGTCCTCGTCCCAGTCTGCCCTTGTTTTTCCTGTTCTTCAATTTGGGGCAAAGAGCTGTTCTCTGGAGGGACATTCATCTCCTTCTTTTCAGATGGGCAGAATTGGACTAGGATAGGTTGAAATGGGGAGTTGGATTAAAATGGGGCAATAATAGTTGTTGTTATTAAGAATTCTTTTTTAGCCGAAACCGGTTTGGCTCAGTGGTAGAGCGTCGGTCTGCGGACTGAAGGGTCCTGGGTTCGATTCTGGTCAGGGGCATGTATGTTGGTTGCGGGCACATCCCCAGAAGGGGGTGTGCAAGAGGCAGCTGGTTGATGATTCTCTCTCATTGACGTTTCTGGCTCTCTATCTCTCTCCGTTCCTCTCTGTAAAAAATCAATAAAATATATTAAAAAAAAAAAAGAATTCTTTTAAAAAATATATATTATTTTTGCCGAAACCGGTTTGGCTCAATGGATAGAGCTTCGGCTTGCGGACTGAAAGGTCCCGGATTCAATTCTGATAAAGGGCATGTACCTGGGTTGTGGGCACATCCCCAGTGGGGGATGGGCAGGAGGCAGCTGATTGGTGATTCTCTCTCATCGATGTTTCTGACTCTCTATGCCTCTCTCTTCCTCTCTGTAAAAAATCAATAAAAATATTTAAATATATATATTTTATTGATTTTCTTTTTTTACAGAGAGGAAAGGAGAGGGATAGAGAGTCAGAAACATTGACAGGAGAGAATCATCTATCAGCTGCCTCCTGCACACCCCCCACTGGGGATGTGCCCGCAACCAAGGTACATGCCCCTGACCGGAATCGAACCTGGGACCCTTGAGTCCGCAGGCCGACGCTCTATCCACTGAGCCAAACCGGGTAGGGCTGTTAGTAAGAATTCTAAACTTCGGGCTTCCAGGGAAGCTCTGGGAGGTGACTGAACCCCTTGAAACTATGTAAAATTTGGAGGTAAGCACTTTCCTCAGAGAATCTAAGATCCCCAAAGGATTAAGACTCTTTGGCTTGAATGACCCCTAGGATTCCTCCAGGAAGAGGCTGAGATCCGCTGATGTGAGGGTTGCTTCCTTCCGCAGGACTGACTTATTTCCCCATAAACACCTTCAGCTCAAGCCCTTCCCGCTGTGACCTCTGCCCCCAGGGCCGCCCAGGACAGCCCGAGCTGAAGGCCTGCCTGCTGGCCTTTCCCTCTAGCTTTAGCACCGGCACCCTGGGGTGGGGTAGTCCATCATGGCTGAGGCCAAGTCTGAGTTCTCACCTCCTCGCCGGGGAGAGGAAGAGGGGCCCGTGGGGCTGGGGGTGCAGAGGCCCCCCCCTGGGGCCCAGAGGCAGCTCCCACTCTAAAGCGCTGGGGCCGGTGGCAGGCCTCGGTAATTACGACTTTACGGAAATATGGAAGGCTCTTACGCAAGCGCCTGACACACTTCCCGTCTGTGGCATCTGGGACAGCCAGGTCCCCAGGGGCTGGAGGAGGGCCCCTCCGCCCCCTGCTGCCACCAAGCCCAGGAGCTGTGGCACTGTCCCTAACGCGCCCGGGCTGAGCCGTTCCCTCTCTCCGCGCCCCAGGCTCCCTGGAGGGGAAGGACTGGGGCTCCAGTGTGTGCCACCCCTTCCCTGTGCCCTGCCAAGCCCAGGAGCCCTGCTCTTGGGTGAGGGGACAGTGGGGGTGGGGGTGTTTCCCTTTCCTCCGTGAAGGAAACCTCTCTTTCCAGGAAGACGTCCCCTCCTATTGTTTCTTTCTTTTTTCTTTTTAAAATATATTTTATTGTCCTTTTACAGAAATGAAGGGAGAGGGACAGAAAGCTAGAAACATCGATGGGAGAGAAACACCCATCAACTGCCTCCTGCACGCCCCTTACTGGGGATACGCCTGCAACCAAGGTACATGCCCTTGACCGGAATCAAACCCGGGACTCCAGTGTCCGCAGGCCGATGCTCTATCCACTGAGCCACATCGGTTGGAGCTGTTCTGTTTCTTTTGTCCTTGAGGCTGGGAACATAGGGCTGAGGGCAGCCGTGGTGGGGGGTTCAGAGCCCTGCAGTCCCTCCTCAGGCCCTGCTCAGTTTGCCTCCTTCCCCCTCCCACGCCCCGATAGTGGCCCGAAGCCCCTGCTTTCTTTCTCTAGTCCATTTCCCCTACCCACCCACAGGCATCTGTTACCAAGGTAACAGCAATGTCATCACTTTGGGGTAAGTGAGGGGGTGGAGCCCAGCGGAGGAGGGTGCTGTTAGGGGTTAGCATTTTGGAGAGATGAGCACTGAGGGGGCCCATTTATTAAAGGAGGATCCTGTTGCTGGGAAGGGGCTTTGGGCACAGACTGGGACAGAGGCTGCTGCTGAAAGCTGGTGGGAAAGGGGGAGGATGAAGTTCGGAAGCAACTGGATGCAGGGTTAGAAGTGAGGGTGTCTCTGGTGAGAGGCGTGAGGGTGGTGGTGACAAAGGAGACATGGAGGCAGGGAGAGTGGACCCTGCCTGTAACTCCTCGCTGGGGTCCATGGGGAGAGGTTTTCTGGCTGGGAAAGTCTAGAGCCCGCTGAGAGCAGCATGGGAGAGCCTGGGGCAGGGCTGGGCCCACACCGCCCCCTGCAGGCTGCACAGAAAGCAACATGGGATGTTTTCAGAGAAGCTGCCACAT